TGACTGGAATGCATGTGGACGCACGGGCTGTTTTCAATGGATTCATTATTACACATGAAATGTTTCTACAGCCTTAACCTTCTGTGGCTTCCCCACTCCTTACTTAAAACACTCCTAGTAGCATATAAACACGATCTCACAGGGACTCTTTTTAGTGTTTGTCAAGATAATCTGCAAAATTTAATCTTAAAAGTGTTTTTCCTGTGATTCTCTCCCCAGACAATTATGACTAACTTCTGAATCAAACCCTGCTTTTACAATGATCAATTCCGTCTCACCCCCTGTGATAGATCATGGTCACTTACGTCGGTGGCTTCCTGAAGAGGCTGCTAACCGGAACTCTGGGCTTCATCAGAACCTCCCCTAGGAGGCAGTTCTGTCTTGATCCTGGCTCTTCTTAAAGAACAGTGTTCAGTGCTGACCCATAGGGGGCTGGGCCCACAGAACAACGGCGGCAGTTGCCATTTTTTAAATTGAATTTTGTTTTAGGTGTTAGTGCTCATATATGCCTATGCGCACCATGTGTGTGTCTGCCCCCACAGAGGCCAAAAGTCAGCGCCAGAACTTCTCGAGATGAGATGAAGGCGGCTGCAAGCTGTCCAGTGTGGCCGCTGGGAACTAAGCCCAGGCCTGCCTCAGGAGCGGCCAGTGTTCTTAGCCACCGAGCCATCGCTCCAGCCCAACCACACACTTTGGAGTTCTAAACCCAAATCAACATACTCATGGCTTCAAGACAGCTGCCATTTTCGTTTTTGAAGATTATTTTTCTTAAAACAGTAAATCTAAAGGATAAAAAAACCTACTTAGCCTGAGAATCTTTCTAGTTTTAAAGGAAAATCAACAGCTTGTACATAAATCCTGATGCTCTCACAGTGCACACTGTGTTCTCAGCCTAGATCATGCTGCTGACTCAAGAACATAATTAGTGTAAACACATGCATAATATTAGAGCTGTATTTATAGCATTTCAACTTTAAAATCCTTAATTGACATCAAGTAGCACTTCAGGTTTTTTTCTGTTTAAGAATGTCACCTGTGGATAGTAAAGCATTTGAAAACCTGGGATTTAATTTTGCGTGGGACCATCACAGTGTAACTTTTCCCGGGTTGGTGAAGATCTAGGTTTCACTGGGACCTAACTGTAAACCAGCTTTTAGCCTACAGCTATGCTTCGCGATGGTCTGGGACCAACAGTAAGTTTTCCTTGAATTATTTTCAATTTTGGAGCCACTGTAAGCTGGCAGGTGGGCTCCTGTGCATGGCTCGGATGGAACTTGTTCCCCAGAAACCTCACCACTCAAGTACAGCACTCGGATTTGTCTCTGGGTCCCTCATGATGGCTGTGTGTGTGTGTGTGTGTGTGTGTGTGTGTGTTGTCTACATATCTTTGTGTGCACCACACACATGCCTGGTGCCTGTGGATCTCAGAAAAGAGCATTACAGAAGTAGAGTCACAGATGGCTGTGAGCTGCCGGATGTGAGTGATGGGAACCAGGGCTGGGGCCTCTGTAGGAGCAAGAATTGTTCTGAACCGCTGAGATGTCTCTACAGCCCCACGATGGTTAATTTTGATGAACAGTTTGATCAGATTTGGAATCAACTAAGAGACACACCTCTGGGTGAGAAGGACATTCCCAGGAAGATAACTGCTGGAGCAGGCGACCTCCAGAGCAGCCAGCGCCCTCTGTAGCCTGGATATAAAGGGTCCACCAAGGCCTGCTGCTGGCCTTTGCTTCTTGGGAATGAGTGTTTCTACCTTTGCTGCTGTTAGTGTTTCTACCCTACTTGCTGACGTTAGGTTCATTTCTTCAGGCTCCAATATGGACTGAAGACCAGTATCTTTTCAAGAATCCTCCAGGCCTTTAACTCCAGCCTGCGACTGTAGAACATTCTGCTTTGTGAACTGAGAAACTATTGCTGGCTGGCCCAACATTTACAGCGGAATCCAGTCTAATAACCCACTTTTTATACGATTTATTCATACTATATATATATTGTTTATGTGTGTGTGTGTGTTCTTCTAGAGAGTCCTTACTAATAGACAACAAAGGGTCTGTTCATCATGAGTTTGGATGCCTTGGCAATGCCAAGGTCTGGAAAGTTTCTACAAAACTGTTGTGGACTGTCTGTGCCAAGTAGATTGGCTATAGATGAAGTCACCACTAGTGAGTAGTTTATGTTCCCACCTTTAAATTGTCCTCTGAGAGAAGCACTGTCCCTGTTCCAATTTCACAGAAATGGGAAGCATGCACAGTGAGAGAGAACACAGTAGGCAGACAGGACTCATGACTCAAACCCCAGGCATCTAACACAAAAGGGACATTGACTTAGAGTTAGGAAACCCGACTCTCTAGCTCATGTTCTTTTGTGTTTTCCTGGGAGTTAAGGGCGAGAATTATGTCCATTCTACAGATGAAGAAGCTGGAAAGACCCAGAGACTTAAACATGTGGCTAAGGTATATGGCTACAAGGTCACCACACCACATCTCTTCAAGGACAATCCCAGTTCACGGCCTTGGTCCATGTTCTGGAATAAGCACTTTCCTCCTTCAGGTTTTCAAACCTCCCACTCTCAGCAGTAAATACCTCTGTCTTCCTGAGTGACAGAGTACCAGCGTGACAGAGGTAGAACTGGTACCCAGGTCTGTTACTGGCCTCAAAACTAGTAGTCTGTTCCCATGAGCTACCCTGCAGAACTCAGAACTGTGAAGTTGAGAGGCCAGTCCTTGCTGCTCATTCAGCAAATGTTTGTGATTTTGTGCTTCGGGAGGACAGCCACGTACAATGACTGATGAAAGTAGAAAGGCCCAACTATTTCACAGGTCAAGACAGTCCTTGACAATCATTTGAGCTTTGCAGTTCTCATCATGTATATGTGTGTTGGAGCAGGGGTGAGGTTATCTGGATACGTCTTCACCTCAGTTTTCCCTTCTGCCCAACCATGAGTCTTCTCTCGCTTCTACAAGCATGGATCCCAAGCATCTTGAACACCAAAATCCATCTTACTTCTCATTCCACAAGCCAACGTGCAACCTGGGCCCAAAGAACTGGTGCTCAGGGAGGGTTTTTATCAGAGAATTATTATGTGCGCACCCAAGACGTTTGTTTAGACAGCCTAGAGATGAAGAGGTGGGAGCAGGAAATGTGCACGTGGATGTTGTTATGTTTGGGTTAAAGGTCTCCGGCTAATGCGGTCAGCATCCCCTTTAAAACCCCCGTAACGCGTCGGTTAGGGCAAACACACACCTTGCCTTCACAAGTACCAAGACCTACAAGCGCTCTGCTCACTCCAGGACACAGGACAAGCCTGGAGCAGCCTGGCACTTTAAGAACTCGGGAGAAATAACTTCCCAGCTGCAGGGGATTCATGTCTATTCACTCAGGCGTGCTTGTGGGAAGACTGGAGTGCTCAAGCTGGGATTCTAAGAGAAGAGCAAGAACTTCGCTGACTCAGTTGTGAAGTATTGCACACTAAAGCTTCAGAAAACACAGAAAGCCCAGTGAATACTAGTCTAAATACTACCCAGCCTGACTACCCCAAACACACGGCAGGTGGGAGGGCTATCTAAGTACCCACACTCCTCTGCTTTTTTTTTTTTTTTTATGCATTGGATCCCCTGGAACGGGAACTGCAGACCTTAACCACCGAGCCATCTCTCCAGCCCCTAAAAGCTCCCTTTGCATCTCACCCAGCTGCCAATAGCTTTAGCTTCCTAAAATAAGGGCCACTGAGAATCTGTACATAACAGTTTAGTTCTATTTTTGACTTTTGTATAAATGGGATCAGAAGTCTTTGGGGTCAGGCATCTTTGGAACGCGATGATGTTTATAAAATCCATGTGTCATGCCTGTACTTTGTTTTCAGGGCTGCATTCCACCACCTGCTGCTTCTGCTGCTGGTCAGAATTTCAGCTGCTCTCAGGATGAAGGGCTTGGAGCTATGTTCCTGATGACACCCTGGAATACAGCTTAGTGCATATGTGGGCACACAGGACAGTGAACAGACCATAGAGCCTACAGCTTCAGGAAATGTCACCAACATGGTTTTCTAAAATACTCACTCACTCGAGTGTGCTATGGGTGTGTGTCTGTGGACATGCTTATGGAGGTCAGGGAACCACGCTCAGGAGTTGGTTCTCTCCTTTCACCGTGTGGGTTCCAGGAAACAAACTCAGCTTGTCAGGCCTGGTGGCAATGCGATTACCCTCTGAGACATCTCACTGGCCCAAGGCTGTTTTCTGATAAATAGGTTCACGGAGCTCTATAGGCGTACTCCTGTTGCTTCATCAGCACTTAGCTGATGATATTCTGAGTTTTTTGCCCCACCGCCCCAATCGTGGTGCTAAACTCTCTTCTCTTGGGAAGCAGCGAGAGTCATTCAGCTGAGAGCCATTTGGATGTTCTCTGCCGTGAAGCACCAATCCTCTTGCTCATCTCCAAATGAACCCTACGGAGCCGTGGCGTCACTTCTGAGACTTGCTGCTGAACTGGAACTACACGGATCTCCGCAGCCCAGGTCTGGTTCTCGTAGATCTGAGCTACACACAAGTGTCTCACTTCTCACAAGTTTCCAGGAAAAGTTGCTGGACCAGGTGACCCACACTGAGAACCAACATCCAACAGGGTTTTCAATGGCTTTTAAATGGCCAACTTCCTGTTAGTTTGAGCAGAAAGTCACCTTTAAAAACCCTACAAATGGTAACCATTTGGTGCTTGTGTAAGGCAGAGCCACCGGTCAGCCTCAGCAGCTTCGGGCTGCGTGCAGCCCACACCTCCACCCAGACGACCTGGGCCTCTCAAGTGGCCAAGAGAAACAGGTGGTGGTGGGAGCTGCTTTTTGATCTCCCCAAAGCTCACTGGCTCTCACCAGCAACGACATCGGTCAGTTCACAATCCCGCAAGGAATAAATATATCTTTGAATGGAGTTGGAAACTGTCGTTTTTATCAGTTGAAATTGGTTTGTCCTGTGATGGTGCAGAAACAGAAAGGAAGTAGTGACTCACTGATATGACTGCCTTTAATCTCCGAAGACCAAGTAAACATATTTACATTTAAGACGTTTCTACATACTCTAACAGACCGTACTGTCACCGTCGCATCTCAGTCTCCTGAAACACTAACCATGACTACCAATAAAAAATAAATGTACATCATTTACTGGACTAAACATTAGTACATTAACTACATACCAAGACTCACACAGTCACTGCTCCCCTGTGTTGGGTGTTTTGCTGTGTGTGTGCTTTTTGAGGTTCCACTTTATAAAACAGGCTTGGTCTGTTAGCTAGTAAAAAACCTGACACACACACACACAAAATGTTGAAAAACACACATGTGCACCTGAGTGTGTCTACATAGTAACATATGTAACTTGAGGGTGGTTTATTGATCATAAAGAGTCCACTTTGAGTCGTGACAGTAAAACCTTCAGTAACTTGAACTCAGCGTACACCTTTGCCACCACCACCGGGAAGAATTTAAGACCTGTGGCTCTGTGAAGCAGATCAGGTCCCGGGAAGCACTGCGGTTTGTTGACTGACTGGTCAGAAGGTCCTGAGACCGGCCATCAGTGGTCAGACTGCTCTGGATGGGTCCTAGACAGGGAAGCTTCTGCTTGTCCCCTGAGGCTGTGACACCTGGTCACAGCCGACCACTGTGCCATCCTCAGGCTTTCCCCAGGGGGGCAGAGCTTTTCCGCATCAGTCTGAAAGGATTGCACAAGAGGCTGCCAGCCAATAGGAGGTTTACCTTCTGTAAACCAGAAGCCACTTGAGATTAGCGAGATGCCTGAGAGTCTCCGTTCCAGGGAATGGGACAGTGCTGAGCCCTTCAGTGCGAGAGCAGCCCACCCTGACTCGCACGGATTTCACGGGGATGGACATTCGTGTGCCCTCAAACCACCAATCAGGGCTCCCATTTTGAGAAAGCATGATTTTATTTTCCAACACAGACGCTTCCACACCTTAGCCATGTATCTTGTATACGTGTGGGTGGCGGGATAGACTCTCTCCTGCCATGTTACTCAACATGTATGTGGGTTTTTTTTGTTTCTTTGTCATTCCTGTTAATTTTGCCTGTACTATTTTAACCAGAGGCCTTTGTGGGGAAGTAACGGGTCCCAGCTATGTCAAAGAAAGCAGGGAGACAATCTGGCAGCTTCACACAGTCTTCAAGTAAATAGAATCCCTGATACAACTGGAGAGTGTACTTTGAAAGGCCACAGGGAGAAGCAAACCTCCGTGACAGCTTAGAAAACGAATGGGCTTTGGCCCTAGAGTCTGATAAGGCACAAAACCTGGCAGCTGCTGTTGTCGGTGGCCTGCACCTCGAACTGGACCAGTGAAGAGCAGCGGGAACATTTAAAGAAAATGATAGGCCACTTCGTTAGAACCTGAAACCACTGAATAAAGTTGGAGGGAAAAATCCAAAGACACCAGTATCCTGTACGTCTTGCAAGTGTGCTGTAGTCTACGGAGCTTCCTCGGGGAAACACCTCTGGGACAGACTTTATGTCTTGGTGATCACAATGCTGTTTCAAAAATCGTTAAGGCTGAGGGCTGTCCATTGGAGGTGTTCACGGCAGGGCTGGTGAATGTGATATCTGGATAATTCCTTCTGAAGTACACCTGTGGAAAAGAGGCAAGCAGAAAAAGAATATGAGTAACGTTCTCAAGCCTTCCTCTCCAGGCAATGCCTTTTCCATCCAGGAAATCAGAGCACTCATTGAGGTGCAATTAGAAGGCCAGGAAGGCACACATTCTGTGAAATACCGTGCTAAAGCCCTCAGTATGGCAGGGCTAAAGGCTGAACAACTTGTAGATCCACTTTACTTCTGATCACTGTGATTCACAGATATGCTTTATCATGCCATTAAAATTGATAAGCGAAATCATTTTACTGACTCAAAACCCAGAGATGAATTAAAAACAGGGGGACAAAGAGGCCAGGGAATTGGGCATCTGCACTGAAGTTTCTCATTTTCGCACATAAAATGAGCACAATAGATTCGGATGTTAGTATCAGGTTGTAATCCCTATATATTACAAACTCTGACTGACAAGCATTGAAACTCTGGCGTCTATGTATGAAATATCCCGGCACTTAATTTGTGCAGCAAGCAGTCGTGGGGCCTATAGAAACGCGATCTGTGGATAGCGGGCCACAATAATGAAAAGAGAAGCAAATGCCGTGACAATGACCCAACCAAGCGACTTCTCTAAAATGTAAGGTGATACCAAATAATAGGGCAGTTCTTTGCCGAGCCTTTGAATTCCTGAATTCTGCCAATTCCAAGCTGAAATAGAAGAGATACAGGTTCTCTGATAAACGCGTAATCAGAAAATAAAGAAAATGAAATGCTGTCAGGTTTCTCTGTTCCGCAATCATCAGTTTTTAGCGGCTCTATCATATCTGGGTTCCTTGACAGATGCGTATTACAAAATGAAATAATGTCAAGACATGTGAGCTCTTATCTCCAAATGTGTTTGGGTGAAAAAGGACTTCAAATGTAATTTTTTTTTTCTTCAAAGAAGAATGTGAAAAGTTTTGTGTGAGCCTTTAAGACAGAAAAATGCACCGTCTGTCTCAGCTGACACTCAGGAGCGTCAGGAGCTGGGTCACGTGATACTGGACCCACGTCACAGGCTCCAGCCATGAATTTATCTGCGGGTGCTGCCAGCAAAGTTACCAGTGGGGATGCTGCACTTCCCACCCAGCAAGACGGCCGCTGAGACCACATTAGTCAGTATGCCTCCCTGGGGTGGCTTGCCAACTTCCCCCCTAAATATCACAACACGGAAGACTCGACTTACACAAGAAATGTCACTTAAGGAAAAAGAGCCTCCTGGAATAAAACTGACATGCTTTCAAAAACAGGACTTGTTCTTTTTTGTGTGTCTGTGTATTCAAATCTCACATCCTCTCCACCTACCTGCTCTTCCTATTCCCAGCTCCCACAAGGCCACTGACATCCGCTGTCACTCCAGTTCCAGAGGATCTGACACCCTCTTCTGGACTCTGTGGGTACTACATGCACACAGTGTGCATACCTGCACGCAGGCAAAACATCCATGCACTTTTAAAACAGCCTCGGTTTTCCAGCCAGGAACGCCTGGCTGAGAACGAGTTCAGGAGTATAGAATCCCTAATTTCTCCTCTTCTACCCCACTGCCAGTCTCAATCTCTTTTTAACTTTAATTTTTTTAATTTTTATTTTTTGGGGGGAGACAAAGTTTCAAGTAGCTCAGGCTGGCCTTGAACTTGTCATGAGCTGAAGATGACATTGAACTACCAGCACCTGCCTCCACCTGCAAATGTTGGAGTTGCAGCACGTGCCACTATGTCTGCTAAAAGCAGACAACAATGTGGTAGTGGGGCCTGAACCTGGGGCTCCCTGCATGCTAGGCAAGGCACTCTACCAACTGATCTCAATGCCAGCCTCAGAGCATCTACTCCCAGTATAGGGCATGATGAGAGATGGCTGGCATTCTCTGCCGGGCCCTCAGGCTGTGGGCTCAGCCTAGCTAAAGGGGAGCAGCGTGTCTTTCTCCTGGACAGCCAGCTGAGACTGCACCACCAGCCTAGCCTCCCTCCACGCTGACTGCCTCATCTATAAAATTAGATAACAGGAGCTAATTGATGGCTGCAGACTGGTGCTGGGTGTGTCACTGAGGGCCGCTCAGGGAAGTAGCCCCTTGGTTCGTGGAAAAGAGTGTTAAGGTTTAAAAGATGAAAACAATTCAGCTTGGATTCCCTTTTGTGGACCTTCTGATATGATCTTTGCAGAGTCCCAGCACTGTTGTTAGACAATGTTAATGGAGTTAATACGGGAATCTGGGAGGCAGGAAGGCAGGCTGGGAGATGGCTGAGGCTTGGGATACCAGCACCTGCTCTGATAACTCTGAAACCTTAGCTGGGCTCTTCTGCCTCAGTTTCACCATGTGGCAAATGGTAGCAATGCCCCACCAGGATGTGGAAAAAGAGAGACCCTGCCATAAGCCCACGTCTGGAACGAATTTCTGGATCCTCTTCCTTTTGCTTAGATGGTTTTCTGAGTATCGCTTAATGAGGGCAGAACGAAGATCAATCATTAACTCACCCATCAGGCTGCCATATAAGAACAGAGCCTTCTAACGCACAAAGCAATGAAACCTTCCCTTCATGGACTGAGGTGAACTGGGGCTTTCATTTACACTGCATTTGTAAGACAACCTTCGGTGTCCTGGCTCAAGACTGTCAGTTCACTCTCACTAGCCAGCAGTACTCTGCCTCACTCATAGCTGTCCTCAAGGCCTCATGTATTCAGCTTTAAAACAGATCTAACGTGAGACTCTGACACTGGCATTACTGACAAGTTAGAGAATAATGGAGGCTTGGTCCTGCCTTTTTAGACTATTGAGTGATAGATTATCAAATTCTTCCACTTTTAGAAATCACTTTACACATCAAAGATGCAGAGAAATAAAGAGTTTACAAACTTTCTCATCTGAAACAATAAAAAAGTTATTTAGAAGTGAAACGTAGTAGTAATAATGAAAAGAGTGGTATGCCATCTGTGAAACAGACAAGTAAAAAGCAGAGAGGAACAAGACAGTCTGATAATGGGGAACACTCAGTAAGCAGAGGACAGTTAGGAGAAAACATCTGGAATACGGTCAAAGAACCAACTGTGCTGAGAGAGAGGGCCCTGAGAACATGGCAAAGCAAAAAGCTGAAGATGAAACCTAATTAACAGAAGTCAGTAACAAAGAAAGAGGAAAAGATGGAATAAATGACTGGTTTACCAAAGGCAGAATAAAGGTTAGTTACTGCAGAAAAGAACAACAGAATGTGACAAGGGAATAGGAGTGAGTGAGCAAGCAAAATAACTAAAAATTAGTATTTTAAGAAGCTTAAGGAAAAATAGCTTTATAAAATTGACGGAAGTAATATAACACACATATGAAGAACACTGAAAGTACAACATACCAGAAACTAGTATAGATAAAACATACCCATGATTTCAATAAATGTAAATGAGTTAAAATCATCCCTTTGTAAAAAGGCAAGGATCACATCTCAGAGCAAGGCCCAGCTCCACACATGTACAGAAAGACACACTTCTGGATTTTAATGACAAAGACATACAGAGCAAATGAAGACAGGAGGAAGGGGAGAAAGCGCTATCTTAGTTTTGAGCAGGCTAGAACTAAAAGCCAAAAGCCTTAAATGAACATAGGAAAACAGTTTGAATTGTAGACAATATAACTCACAGTGGAAGTAACATATGCAAGTTAAGAATAATAAAAATATTCAACGTGAAAGTGATAGAAACTTTTTTTAAAAAAGGCATGAAGGAACACAGACAACTCATTATGTAGTTACTGTAGCAGATCTAAAAAAATTACCAGAATAATCATTTTTTAAAAAGAGAATTCAAAAATAATTTACAAAGATTTCCAGTATACCGGGACACAGGAAAGAATGTGTAATTTCAAGCAAGCAGACATAATATAGAAAACATTATTTAAAACATTATTGTTTTGTCAACAATGACAGTGCAAACAGAAATAATAAATAAAACAGAAAACAATCCAATTACCAACAAACGCTCCTCTTCAATATTTTCTGGAGTAAAAAGTATTTTATACCTCAAAATCTGAAGTATTTTTTGATGAAAGATGAGTAGCAAAAATTGAGGTATGGTTAAAGCAGTTCATAGGAAAATTCACATCCTTAAATATTCATATTACAATTAGCATAGTTGTTGTAGCTATTATATTATGACTGCTATAATTAACATCTATATTAATAAAAAGAATACAAACAAATACACTCAGTAATTTAAAAATAACAGAAGAATAAACCCAAATTAGAAAGACTCAATAAAGAGTAGAAACTGATCAGCTATGAATTGATAACTTGAAAGTCAACTTTAGAGCTAAATCTTTGGGATAAAAACAGCTAATATAATCAGAGGGAACAATGGGAAGTAGGAGGTGGAGATCAGATAAGGAAGGTAGCTACTAGAAAGAATGAGGTAACTATATGCAATAAATAGAGCAGGGTGGCCCTCCTATACCATGGCCTACAAAAGATGCGCTTTGTTAATCAGCAAGTACCCTTGGGATAACGCACTTGACAAGTCCTTTGACATGGACCTCGTCTAAAGGACAGGCTCAGCGTGAGCCAGCAACGGCCTCTACAGAAAGGAATATATCTACACGGTCAGCAGTATGCGGCTTGGAAGTCCCTTCATGCAGATGTTGAGTTTGCATCTCAAAGGAATGAATTCTGCTCTGTGAGAGATGATGCAGACTAACCCACACGGTCTACAGTTCCAAAAGATGCATGGATGTTTGACTTCATACGCGTAAGATGCTGACAACGTGTTCTCCTAAAAGAACCTTGTGTGTGCAGAAAGAATGGAACTGAGTTCTGTATTTCTCTCCATCTTTCTGCAAATGTAACCAGAGCCAGAGGCGAGGAAGAGCTTAAATCAGACTTAATTCTACACCTGCTGTTGCAGGTGCCAGGGGAGCAGGCCCATCCTGGATGCCAAATGAAACAAGGAGTAACGTTCCTAAATGTAAAACCTAGAGCCACGTATCAGTCACCTGGCGGCAAACCTCCTGCTCCCTGCTTCCTCAGCGTGTGTTCTGAAACCCTTTTCCTTGGGTTTTCTTTCTTTTTTGTAATCTCGGTTGACGCAAGCTGGGAAGAGGGAACACCAGCTGAGGAACTGCCCCCATCACTCTGCCTGTAGGCAAATCTGTGGGGCCTGTTCGTAATTAATGACCAACTCAGAAGGGCCCAGCCTACCACGGGCAGCGCAGGTGGTACTGGGTTGTATACAAAAGAAAGCTGAACAAGATAGGAGGGCGAGCCATTGAGCAGCACTGCCCCCATGGGTTCTGCACCAACTCCCGCCTCTAGGCTCCTGCCTGGCTTCCCTCAATGACAGACTTCAGTTGGTTGCGACCTGTAAGCCAAATAAAACACTTGGCTACCCAAGTCTCTTGGTTGTGCTCTTTACGAATAGCAGCCAAACGGGAACTAGACCGTTTTAAGTGGCCGTGAAAGCCTGGAGCTGGACAAAGAACGTGGAGCTGCTTCTCACTCCATGACCTACACACTTCTCTGCACGGGTGTTCCCCCTGAATTAAGATGTTGATGGAAGAGGAAGAGTTACAGTTGTCTCTTCCATAAGCGGGTAACAGCGGGCCTCAGTTTCCCCGTCTGAGCACCCTGAAGAGCTGAGGGAACGACGTAATAGAGTGCGTGCTGCACAAGTGTAGCAGTGTGTGCGGGTTTCGGCCCCAGAACCTAAGTGAGGAGCCTGGCGTGCACCGTGACCCCAGTGCTGAGGAGCAGAGACAGGCTGGAGGCAGCTGACAACCAGGCTGGCCAAATTAGCAAGAAACCCCATCTCAAAAAACGAGGCAGAAAGAGAGGAGACCTCCCCACAGCAACCTCTGGCCCCAACGCATAGACAAGGCCCCGCGCACACAAAGAAGGAAGGAGGAGGAAGGAGACTGTTGAACTGTGTTATTGTGTGTGACTTAGATCTAAGCTGGATGATTATTCATCACTCAAAGTCTCTTTCCTCCCATCTGCTGCCCCCCCCCCCCACCCCTTTATTCGAGAGCCTGAACTCTGGGCCTCCGACGCACTAGGCAAGGACTTTACCACCGGGTCACACCACAACCCACAACAGTGCATTTCAACAGGGGCCTTGGAGGAGTGAGGGTGTGGCTCAGTGGAAAGCACCTGCCTACTAGGTCTCAGGCTCCGAGCTCAGTTTCCAGCACGGCAGAATGAAAGGCGGGGGCGGGTTTCTGTGTAGGCGTGGCAGTAGATGGGAACACTTCTCTGATATGAAAGGCTGAATGGTTTACCGTTCTGCGATTCCCAAATGATTGACAGGGTCTCATGAACGGGAACGCTCTAGAAATGGAGGTACTATAAATAATTGAGCTGCCCTCCCTCCCCCAAAGCTCAGCATTCCAAAGGCAGTCTTCTCCTCAGTCACCAGAGTAAGTCCTTGTGAAAAGGTCAGAGCACAAACACTGTGGCCCAAGCCTAGGTTTAAAACACATGGCTTCCATTTACTCGCTAGCTGTGTGATTCTCGGTACTTCTGGACGGCTCAGAGACCCTGGATCATCTTCCAGATCACCACGTCTGATGAACACGGAAGCCTCAGCAGCAGCGGCCGCACAGCCATCATGCCTCATCACAGAAGGAGATATTTCCTGGTCTTCTCTGTTCTGTTAGAATGGCTAAAGGCACACTCTCACATTTTTAACCCAACATAATCCTCTTAGAGATACACACACACTTATTTAGCGGTTTTAAAAATTCATTTTGCTTATTTGTGTGTCTGTGTGATGATGTACACCTGTGAGGATGGACACAGTGTAGAGCGGGATGCCGGGCTTGTTTCCTGAGGACTGAGTCCCAGTGCTTAGGTACTCATCCCCGGAGCAGCTGCTACCAAGCCCCCTCTCCAGCCCCCAGTCAGACTTTTAAAATGAAGTGTAATTCAGTAAAATACCAGAAAACACAGCTCTCCCGACCACCCCGCAGTCCTGGAAACAGCGAATCTGTGCATTCTAGGCAGGTTCCCTACACCCGACCTCGTCCCAGCTCTCTCTGCATCCCTGAGGAGCAATGAGCTGCAACAGTGGAGAACAGAACCTGGGCTTCAGGAGGAACTGTCACAAAGGGCTGGTAGAATTCTGGAACGTTTCTTCTCGTCGGGTTGTCTTTAGTAGATACTTAAAACGTTACACAAACCAAGCAATTCAATTCTGCCTATGGTGTTGGAAAATCTGAGAAATACAGAAAGGAATGAAGGCTGAAAACCACACCTGTACTGTGGTGCCTAGACTTGGGGAGTCGTGACGGGTGTGTGACACTGAGTCCCTCAAACCAAAGCGCAGTTACCTGAGGCAACACCATAGGTACATGTGGAAAAGCTCCCATTCAACCTAAATATCTTTAAAGCTTTTCTACCTCCATACTTGAGGCTGTAGATTTAAGGCATAAATTCTGAGTATCTCCTGATCACAGGCTTACCTTCTCTAGAAAGTAGAAGAAAAACAAAGGTGTCTTTGGACCCCAAGTCAACAAAGAATTATGGAGATACTAGGCAACAAGGAGTAACAGTATTCTTTATAAATTATAAGATGAAAACACAAGCAACCTAGATGTTTCTCTGATAGGTCTTTCTGTACAAACAAGATTCCATATGCACTTTAACTCTCTAACTTCCTGGATGCATCCCAACAACACTTGCATTGCAATGTGCTAAGCGTCAGTAAGAAAGAAATGCAATGAGTCTGCAAGCAGGGCTCACTCCCTCTCGGGCACGCCTGCTTGCACTCGCACATGCGCACACGCCCTTCCCTGGTGCTCCTGCCAAGTCCTGGTAGACCTGACTTCAACCCTGGACGTGTTGAAGCTTTGTCTCCGGAGGCTTATAATTGAAAAGGGCACACGGTGCTTTTTACCAGACCCCTGGTGCCAAACAGTGAGGAGGGAACCAGTGAGACAAACTGTAATTACGGCTCCTGGGCAAACTCACCTGTTTTGCTGTTTCGGTGAGGGCCGCGGCTTCGCCCTTCCCCAGCTGCTGAACCATCTTGTAAAAGAGGCTCTCCGGATTCTGCAGCAAAACATATGGCTCATCATATTCTTTCAGTCTTCCTGAATCTAAAACCTGGGAATCAGCAGAAAGAAGCCCAATGAGACACACAATGTCTTGCAGCAATATATTATCACCCAGACAATCCTTCGGAAAGGGGTAGGGCCAGGGGGAATACAGACCATGTATTTGGGGGCCGGGCCTGGAGGGAACTTGAAAGGTTTGATTACCCTGGGCTAAGGAGCAAACAAAGGCCTAACCTGATCTTTTATTATTATAATGTTATAGGAAAGCTGGATAAATAAAAGTTCTAGATCATTATTATGGACTCTCAGCTGTCTGTTGCTCTTTATATTCTCCCAAGGCTACAAGGGGAGTCTGTTCATAGGCGTTTTTCAGATCCCCAGACTCAGAGCTTTGAGGTGTGCAGATACATAAATGCAGAGCTAAGAAATCTATGGATGGAAAAAAATCAGCCTGTTTATTTAGAACCTGGGTAACGTCAGAAAAGGCAACACCACTGGCTTGACAGGATCTGAGCCAGAGTTTCTTTAGGGTGCTGGCAAGTAGGCTGACAAGGGGGCAAGGTCTGAGCCCGATCAGCTGAGTCCTGAAGTCACCTCCAGCTTTGGTTTGTTACCCCTGGTGTGAATGACAGGCCTAAAGGACGGACACCTAAGCATCATTTGCAGTACTGTACAAAGAAATAAATGGCTAGAAATCCCATTTTCTCTCTGGATACAACGAAAGAAACAACTAAGGGACTGAGCTTGAATTTCTACTGATCCCAAGTCCATACCACACATGGTGGGGAGGGGCAGGCCAGTCTGAGCTGGAGGATCTGCTGAGGGTCTGCTGTTGAACTTCCTGGACTCCTTCTCTCCCCCTTTAGCTCCCTGCCTTGCAGCCCTTTGATTGCTCATTAATCTACCCTGGAGATGGAGAGGAGGAGGGAGGAGCTGTTCACCTTGCATTTCTACTTATTAGTGGCTTTGGTTGATGGTTTCAGACAGAAGAGAGTTGGAGACAATTGGCCCAAATGACGCACCTGGGGAGGCAGCTCTGCTGCTAAGTGGTGCTTAGGTCTTCACTTAGGCTGTGTTTAGAATAAACCCATCTTCGGGGAACACGCAGAAACTGTAAGCAGGGCCTGGGTTGTTTTTCCACATCTGGATATTCTAGTCAATTTGGCCCATGGTATTTAATCGGAAACATTTATTGAGGCTCCTAAAGAGCCTTCTCCTGTTAATCCTTGTTTACTACTGTGAATCGCTGCTAGGGGCAGCTTTCTCAAAAGAGTTCAAGAATAATTGATTCTGTCACATCCACATAATAATTAAAATGTCCTATAATTTGGCATGCCAATTTAGATGCCCCAAATGTGTAATTTTACTTAAGGACTGCATTGCAGGGCGGGGCCACTCCTGACGTTAGCCAAGTGGGGAAATCGCAGTTGTGAAATGCAGGTCTCTCCTATGCTAAAGACTAAGTGAATGAGTCGAATGACTTTACAAAGTAATGAACTTTCTATTCTGCAGGAGCAGAAATCAAACGTAGAATCACACTTCAAAGGCAGACACTGGGCTCTCTGAGTGTCACAGGCTGCCTGTAATCTATAACCACTGCTTTGTCGAATATTGAGTGTATTCAAATGTAAGACAGTCTTACCCCATCCCACACAGTGTCTGAAATACTCCAGTGCCACTCAGACCATCATGAGTGAAGCCAGCAAACACAGAAGGCAGGAGGTTTGCTACAGGAGCAACAGAAAGACCATGGATACAGAATATCCTCTATCAGTTAACAACGTGCTAATGTGCACTTTAGTTTGCTGGGAGGTTTAATAATTTAAAGAATATTGATTTATTTTTAAATATGCGTCTGTGTGTGTCCACACACGTCTGTGTATGTGTGCATCCCTGTATGTTATGTGTGTGTCTGTGTCTGTGTCCGTGTGTACATGTCCCTGTGTCAACAGGGCTGAAGTCATGGCTCACTGGTCAGATGTGGGGGCCGTGAACTTTGGAGAAGACTTCTCTAGGCATCACCCTCCAGACCGGATCCCATGGACCCCGGCTGTCCTGGGCTCATCCCTTCCAGCCCAGTGTGCAGTGGGGCCTGGACACCCCTGAGGGAAGAGGTGGAACGAGGAGCCACAGTTTAAAGCATATACAGCTCTCGCAGAGGACCTGAGTTTGGTTCCCAGCACCAACATGGGGGCACCCAGAACCGCTGCTAACTCCAGTTCTCAGGAGATCTGGCCTCTCTGAACTCCGTGGGTACTTTCATACAAACGCACGCGCACACACACAGGTGGTGGGGGCTAATGAGGGAGGGAGGGAGGGAAGGAAAGAAAGTCAGGGGGAGGGAGGACTTTAAAAGGGACAGGATATTACAGGTCCTGGTAAATGTAAGTGCCACGTAGCAAAGATGTGGTCAGTGACATTAATGAGCAAAGAGAAAAATTAAGAGATTAATGAGAAAACATCTCTGCTCAGGATGTTTTCTGTTTTGTTTTTAAGAGACAGAGTCAGGCCTGGAGAGATGGCTCAGTGGCTCCGAGTGCAGGCTTCTTCTCCAGGAGATCTAGTTTAAGTCCTAGTTCCCACACAGCCATTCACAACAGCCATCGCTCCTGCCCCAGGGAACCCACTGCCCCCTTCTGGCCTCCACAGGCACTGGGAATGCACCGCTTCATAGACAAGCAGGCAAAACAGCACACGCGTAAAACAAGTAAACAAAACCAAAGACAGGGCCTCCCACAGCTCAGCCTAGCTTCCCAGGCTAGCAACAGAGTACACCCGGGGTTTCTAGTCGCTGGAGACTTCTGGCCCTCTCTCTCCAGCGCCAGGATTACAGCTGTGAGCCATCACCCCCGGCTTGCATGGTTCCGAGGAACAAGGCCACGGCTTGGTGCATGCTAGCAAGAACTCCATCAGCTGAGTCACATCCTCAGATCAGTCTCTGTACTTGGAAAGGAAAATCAAAGCAGGTATGGTTTGCCTGTTGACTGCTTCTAGCATCATTAAACAAAGGAGACAAACAAGTCAATGCCTCCCTTTTACCCCTCCATCCTCTAACAGCACAGTCTGAGCAATGGCGGCTTGGAGATGAGCAATGGTTGGCCATGGCGCTGCCGTTCTTTGATGAACACCGAAGTGCAGAGAAGAGCAATGATTCTGCCCTGGCTGGAGCCAGGCAGCATTGGGACTCACGCATGAGAAGTTCCAGAAGAAAATGTTTATTAAAAAAAAAGTAAAGAAAAATCAAAGCAATTACATGTCTACAGTACCTTTTCATTGGGATGACACAACTTTGCTGGTTCAAGGAAACATACTTCTAAGCAGAAACATTACTGCCTGCCCACTGATATTTCATCATATTGAGGATTCCGATTATATCCTGTGTGCCTGGTATATAGTCCCAAATGAAGAAAACCAACTTTTGTTCCAATTTTCAGGATTAACAATGAGTGAGTTATGTACAGTGTAAACATGCTGGAAGGAAACCTTTACCTTAAATCTGTGTATTTACTCAGCGTGTCTATCACACATTTAGTGTGTCCCTGTCATTAAGCTAGTCACTGTGGAAGAGGCAAAGACAGGCCCCCGCCCCACCTTTACAAAGCCTGTTCTTAAAGACAGGAAAAATATCTAAGCGACCATCACAAAAGATTTAAAAATAAAATAAAATAATAAAATAAAATAAAATAAAATAAATAAAATAAAATAAAATGCAAGACAAGCAAGCTGGAGCAAGCAGCACAAGGCTCCAGGGAAGAGCCTGGGGTGGACGGAGACCAGCTTTGGGGAGGACGGGGCAGAGGACTGGAGAGGACCAGTGACACACAGACGGGAGGGCACAGCTCAATCAAGAGACACACAACATGGGCCGTGCCTGGAGACACACTGTGCCTACCTCAAGACAGGCTGGTAAGACTGCTCTAAGGCACTGTGGCATACCCAGAGCCTGGCACTACCCACTGGGACTCAACACACAGGGGCTGAAAACCAAAGTCAAAGGAGATGACTCTGCTGGAAGACAGGTCACACCCAGTGTGCGTGTGCTTGTGTGTGAGCGCGCGCTCGCGCATGTGTGGTGGGGGTTGAAATGCTTCAGATTGACAGCTTCGGGCAAGATAGAGCTTAAAAGGGAGGAAGATGCAAGACTTGGTTAGATACCGAGAATGAGAGAGCTAGAGGGACAGTTGCTGCAGACTCAAGTTTGGATGCACACGGTCAGGGGCCGATCGAGAGACAGAAATGGATCTTTATATACACTCAGCCGCTTACAATGTGATCAGACAGTCTAGACTCTTCAGACGGAGCAAAGAGAAAGCCACTCCACGTTCTCTCTGCCTAAAAGATGAATTCTCCACTTTTCTCTTAACTATGTTTTATATGAAAACTGTTGTGAAATATTCTGCTCAGGTGCCCTCCCTTCCTGGACCAAAGTAAACTGTAAAGCAAACCACACATTAATGCTTGTATGGCAGCAGAGCCTCAATCCCAGATCTCTCCAGGAATGACAACCTCAAATTGCTCACTGCTGTCCCGCAGGTTAAGGACAAACATATTCTGCTGGATGAGTCAGCCAGTTACATAAGCACAGCAGGAAAAAAAAAAAAAAAACAAAAACGAGCTATCAGACCTACATCTCTGCCGAGTCCAGGTAGCTGTCCCAGATGTGGAAACTAGAGGGACTCATTTCAAAATCATTTAATCCACTTTGTCCACAGGGCATAGCCACTCCTTCTGCCATTAAAGAAAAGGAGACTGCAATTTTAAAATACAGGTCTCTCCCATGCAAAAGACCAAGGTAGTAAATCAAATTGTTTTGTAAAACAATGAATTTTTTATTCTGCAAAAGCAGTAGGTAAACCTTAGCCCTCACACCTCGCCTCTCACTCTTACATGTCTTCTTCTGGTGTTTGAGTTTCCATGCTTGCTACTCGCAGCACCCTTGGCATAAAACTGTAAGCATACTTTTGAAGGAACATTTTTTTTTTCTTTCTTCCCTTTTCTGGTGCCCTAGTTTTGATCAAGCAGGTTCCTTAAAAAAAAAGAAAGAAAGAAAAGAAAGTCCTACAAAGGTGACAAAATAGAATTTTAGTTCTGAGTTGTTCTGCTTCTCCAACTGGCTGTGTTACTACAGTTACTTTATCTGGGAAAACAACTAAGGAGAAAGCAACAATTCTAAGACCACAGTGTGGCCTGTCAAAAGGGAGCCACAACCCAAGTCTCTGACCCTGCAGTTCTCTGTAATTTAGTTCCTCAAGAATTCTAGGAGCTCCACAAGGAGAGCAACAGAACCAAAATACCTGGCCACAGGGGTCTTTTCTGAGACTGATACTCCAACCAAGGACCATGCATGGATATAACCTAGAACCCTGCACAGATGTAGCCCATGGCAGCTCAGTGTCCAAGTGGGTTCCCTAGCAATGGAAACAGGAACTGTCTCTGACATAAACTGAGTGGCTAGCTCTTCGATCACCCTCCTCTGAGCGGGGAACAGGCTTACCAGGCCACAGAGGAAGACAATGCAGACAGAGATGAGATCTGATAAACTAGGGTCAGATGAAAGGGGAGGAGGACCTCCCTATCAGTAGACTTAGAGAGGGGAATGGGAGAAAAAGAGGGAGGAGAGTGAGGTTGGGAGGGGACAAGGGAGGGGGCTACAGCAGGGATACAGAGTAAATAAATTGTAATTAATAAAAAATAAATTAATTAAAAAAATAAAAATTAAAAAAGAAAAGAATTCCCCAATTGCCAGCAGGGATGGTGTGTGGCCCAGGCAATTGATAGCTGTGGACCCTCTCAAGCCTCTCTCGCTCTTGCTATAGGACCAGCAGAGAACCAGCAGAGCTGTGTTGACAGAGTTGGGGTAGGGACTGGAAGGGAGCACTGCCATTGACCGAGAAGTCATATCCAGTTAATCCTAAATGAAAGGGAAGAAGCCACGTTTAATATGGAGATAGTGCTGAGTATCGGGAGAAAGAGGCTTTCCAATTTGTCTGCCTTGCTCCATTGTTTTGTGGCAACTGAGCAAATGAGTGCGATTAAATTAGCTGTCATAAAGACAACAGCATGTTTAATAAAGTTAAAATTGAGAGAACATCTTTATAAAATAGAATTCTAAGCCTAACACATTAATGGTGCTTAATGAACCAAAACTGGTTAAAAATGCCTTTGGAGAGCCAACACATAAACGAAGTCATTAATTAGGTCGCAGTTGTTTCCCAACAAGGCTTCTGCTTGATTTACTTACAGTAAACAAAACCATGCCCATCCGCATTCACCGGCGCAATGAAGTGCAATTATTATACCTTATGCACTTGTGATCACACCACTGGATGGTGACACGGTTGCTCATGGCCTTCATCAGCTCTGCTCCACTGGCCACTCCCTGAGCCTGGCCCCTGCCCATTGGCACAAAAGGCTTTGTGGTGGTTGGAATGAGAATGGCCTCCACAGGCTCATGTTTGAATGCTGGGTCCCTCAATAGTGGAACTATTTGGGAAGGGTTAGGAGGTGTGGCCTTGTTGGAAGACATGCGTTACTTTGAAACCTCAAAGCCCACACCAGGCCCAGTACCCCCGCCCTCCTCTACCCACAGATCAGGAGGTAAAGCTCCCAGCTACCACTCCATCACCCAGTCTGTCTACTTCACTCCATAATGATTAGGGCTTGACTAGCCACCTGAAGCCGTTAGCAAACCACCAAATAAATGCTTCCCTTGCTAAGGGCCTTGGTCATGTTGGCTCTTCACAGCAACAGAACAATCATTTCTAAAGCAAAAACTGCTTCAAACTTTAAAGGTTAGAGAAAGAACATCCTGGGCTGCTGTAAGTTGATTCTGAAATTCTCTAAAGCCTGCTGTCTCGTCACAAGCTTAGTGAGCATGGTGGCGCTAACTGGGAGTCGAGAGAACCTTTAAGAGGGGGTGGGACCTATTGGGGGGGTTCTAGGACAATGTGGGTGGCCCCTTGGAGGGGACTGTAGGATCGTGGCTCCTCCTCTGCCCCTCTGCATCCTGGCCATGGGTAAAAAGCTCTGCTTTGCTTCACACTCCACCAGGATGCACTACTTCAGCACAGAACCAGATAATCACACACTGAAACTTCCAATTCTGCAGCCAAATAAAGCTTTTATTCTAAAAAGCTCATCATCTTCAGTATTTTGTGACAATAAACAGAAACCAGAAGTTCTAGAACACAACAGAAGTTTCAACCTGGCATATTCTGACCTAACAGAATCCAAGTGTTCATCTTTAAAAATGAGGATACATGTCACTTGGGTCCCCTGAGTTGGGGTCCCGTGTCATCCTTACAGCAGCAGAAAGCAGCTCAACGGACCATATTTCCACTTTCCGGTGGAATCTCTTCTGATGTTGCTACACTGAAGATTTCCCACACAGGAGTTCTGAGTGGGAGGGGGGACACCACAGGGAAACGCAAGGTCACGTGCTCACAGAGAGCACACTTCCAAGCTGACGTCTCCCTGGGCCTCATCCATCCATCTCAGCACTCAGGTCTTCACCCTGGAAACCAACATGGACTCCACTCTCCTCTCATATCCCACATTCAGTCTGTCACAGTCTAGTGATCTGTGATTTCCCCCAAATCCGCTCATTTCCCTCTCCACACAGCTAGCATCTTAGTCTAAGCTTCCAGCATTCAGGAGGAAGAACACACAACTGTCAGAAAGACAGCAGACAGACACTGAAGGGCAGACAAAGAGAACACTTCCGTGGCATCAACACAGTGGAGTGGGGCTAGGGAGGGAGGGAAGGGCCAGATTATAAGCTGCTGTGTCAAACCACAGCTAAGGATAATAGATAATGAGAGAGAACAGTCTCTGGAGATTTACCAGGAGACACTAGTAAACCAAACACTAACCACCACTGACAACAGCAACAAAGGTGACTGGTGAAAGGGATCCCTCATGAACTAGACGTTCATGCCGGGGGCTACATAGTGACTGATAAGATTCAGGCGTGACTGGCCGACATTTCAGCAAGACTCTGTCCTTCCCCGCTGGTGGCAGATGAGTCTCAGGAAACAGAACACGCCTGCTGTCTCCTGGTCAGGTAGGCGGCCCTGGGCTGTCTAAGAAACCAGGCTGAGCAAGCCGCGGAGAACAAACCAGTGAGTAGCATTCCTCAACGGCTTCTGCTTTAGTCTCTGCCTCACGTTTGTGCCCTGGTTTCCCCCAGTGAAGGACTATAAAGTACAAGATGAAAGGAAATAGACCCTTATTCTAAGTTGCCTTTGGTAACGGTGCTTATTAGAGCAATAGAAAACAAACTAGGACAAGTTCTAAAACAATCACAGAAGCCAGTTTTTCACATCCTCAGCCTTCCTCCGTCTCTCCATATGGATGCAGGAACTGAGGTCGGCGAACCTGCAAGAATACTGTGTGACAATCAGCACAAGAGCTACTGAGCCACTCCTCCAGCCTCAGAACGAAGCTGCAGCATGGGGACACGCACACAAGGACACAATCCTACTACTAGGGAGTATGAAACAACACGGTAGCTGATTGCTTGGGTTTGGGACATTTCCCTGGGGCATAATCCATCATAAAACGGCCCTGTAAATAAACTTAAACACAGAAGTAGATAAAGGAGTATATCACAGGTACATTGTGTAGGAGCTCTGAATGTATGCATGAACACACTTGAGGTGCTGCTGGGAACAGGAGAACAGCTAACCAAGGCTTGACTTAACGGGGCTCCTATCAGCTTGTACAGGAAGGATGCATGTGAGCGTCCACGGGGACCACCGGGAAGACTCACCATTATCTTGTCACTGTCAATGATGGTGTTCAGTCTGTGGGCAATGGTGAGCACTGTGCATTCTGCGAACTTCTCCCGGATTTTCTGTTGGATTAGCTCGTCAGTTCTGGAATCACAGAGGCCACACTTAGATCGGCGAAGATGGGCAAAGGCCACATTTAACCCAGTGCAGATGGAAAAGGCTTAAAACGTAAAAGATCACATGACCCTTAAGGATGTTTTTAGAACTCTGTTATTATTATCACTTTTAGACAGCTCAGGCTGGCTTTGAACTCATGTCATTCAGGTGGCTTTGCACCCCAGAGCCTTCTCCATTCGGCTTCCAGATTCGAGGATTACAGCATGCACAACCACAGCTACATACCCTCCCTGCTTAAAAACTACAATCTAAGACGTCAACTCAGAAACAGTGCAAATGATTTTCTCTCCAAACTTTCTGAGACAGAGCTGGAAACTGGGGACCTGGCTCACGAGGGAGGCCGTGAACGCAAGCTGCGCTTCCCTTTTCTGAACGCTTGGAGTCAGAAGGGCCTCAGACTCTGGACTCGGGCATATCTGTACATACACAGTGAGATGCATGCAGCCAGAAGACGATTTTGTAAAATATACAACTCTATGCATGAGACAGTGGTGCATCACACACCTGAAGGGCGGACACACCCAGACACATTCCTTAGTCATGGAATCTTTCCCCTAGGCCACATTTAGAATTCACATTCAGCCCCACATCCACTCTAGCCTTTAGCTCTGTACCTTGGATCCACATTTGCTGTTGCTTCATCAATGATCAATATCCGGTTTTTCTTCAGAATCGCCCTCGCAAGGCACACTAACTGTCTCTGTCCCACACTAAAATTAGATCCAGATTCTGCTAATTCAGTGTCCATTTTACCAGGAAGATCTTCAATGGCCTCTTTAAGCTGGACCTACAGGTGCAAACAGAAGGAAGATACTTTCATATATAAACTGTTACCCAAATCTCTTCAAGACCAGAACTTTGAAGAGCTTCCAAGGCCTCATGACCATGACAGCAGTCACCACCGATAAGCACAGTCTGTTGGTTCTGGGTCATGAGTAACACTGCTTGTGCACATTCAATACGTCAGGTAAAACTGCTCCCCAGGTGAAACAGGGCAAGATAGAGAATACCTCTTTATAAAGATCTAATTTTATTTTCAAATTGTGTGTGTATGTGTGTGTGTGTGTGTGTGTGTATGTGTGTGTGTGTGTGTGTGTGTGTGTGTGCGCGTGCATGTGAGTGCAGGTGCCTGTGGAGACCTATGGAGGGCTTCAGATGCCCTGGAGCTGTGGTTATAGGTGTTTGTAAGCTCCACGGTGTGGAAAAGAATATGGGTTCTCAGCAAGAGCAGCAATTTCTCTTAACTGATGAGCCATCTCTGTAATGACCTGAGAATGTTCCTTCGTGGTGGTCAGTTACGAGACAGCTGCAAGAGTCTACAGAGAGGAAACACAGGACAGAGCAGTGACAGAAGAGCATTCGCTGTAACAAGAGAGTGGACATGCTGAAACCCTGATCACTGTGAAGCCCCGTTATCAACTCCCTGAGCTGTATGTAAAGTAGCCTCAATGAAGGTGGTGAGCCTCAGAGCCACCCACCCCATCAGCCCAACTTCCTTCCTCCACATGCCATCCACGGAAGTCTCGGGAGTGAAGCTCTGCCCATATGTAAGATCTACTATGGAAAATGTAAGAACTTGCTATGGACAAGTTCCCCAAGAGCATTCTGCACAGTTATGGCAGGAAGCATGGTCCTCTGAGGAAGCAGTTCTCTAGCCACCTACCATTTTGGAAGATTTCAATTTACCAAAAAGCTTTAAGAAGTTCAAATACCCGGGAACTACTTCTTCAATGTCAGGAGCACTGGAGGGTGTTCTTCCTAAGTTCAGTCTCTTGTCACTAAAGCTACCAAGTGCACATGCTTCAACCTCACAGATGGTCTACAGTGAACGGCAACCCCTGGGAAGAGAATACAATACAGCACCTTCTTGCCCCATCTACGGTGTGCTTCCAGTAACCTGTCTTTGAAAAACTCATAAGGCATCAGACTGTCTCTCTGTGTGCTGGTTCAGTCTTATGAGAAATTTAACAGACCAACAGCCAAACTTGGACTAGCCTTGAGAGACTCGGGACAACGTGTCAGTACACCGCAGCGGACTGATGAGTGGGTTCTGGGGCTTGAACTCAGGGCTCATGCTTGGAAGGCAAGCCCTCTGCCAAATGAGCCATCTCCCTAGCCCAGATCTTAAATCTGTAAAATGAAAAACATGAACCTTTGAAGCTTGGGCTTAAGTTCCGCCTGGTTCTACCAATGACAAGTTTCTGACTTTTCCCTGTCTTAACTTCCTCACCTGCAAATGAGACACAATGTTATCATAGCCAAGATGTCTATCTCCAAGCGCTGTTTGCTGGGATAGAATGTGTCGGTACATGTAAGTATTTAGAACAGTGCTTGCTACAAAGAGATCAGTCAATGCTGCCTGTTACTAACAGTGTCATCACCTGGCTCTCTTCATGTTCTGCTTTTTAAAATTGCATTTACCAGTCTTAACTTTGTGTGCATAAGCATTGCTGATGTGCTAACTTCTCCACAAGAATTTCAGCTCCAAGTGGGAGTGCTTTGTCTATCTTGATGACTGTGTAATAGCTTAAGAATCTACAATGCAATCAGATCTTAATAAATAATGGTTTGAACTCATGACGGAAGTCACAAGAATGTCTCACACGTCTGTTTCTACAAGTTAGGAAGTAAATTCATGTGAACATGCTTTATGTAAAACACAAATCACATTAAATGGCATTGTAAAAGAAACATATGGCTTATAAAAATTAATTGGTTCAGGATCATAATAGTTATTCTTAAAATAGAAAAGCATTTAAAAGTTATTTCAGAAAAGTTGATCCAATTATAGTATTCTAAACTAGTTATTTCAGCACAGAATAATTCAGATTATATTTCAAGTATGGAAAAATAATAAAATACAACGAAACTGAAGATATTTGTGACATTATCATCATAAACATTTTCCCTGCTTTGTGCACCACATGGACGAAGTCCCACAATTCCTTATAGATTGACAGGGATGTTGGACGCCGTTTCTGCTCTCTTTGAAACTTACTGTGGTGGCTTGAATGAGTGTGTCCCTGATAGGCTCATGTATCTGAACACTTGGTTCCCAGTTGGTGTTGCTGTTTAGGGAGGTTATGGAACCTTTGAGAGGTACAGCCTTGGTAGAGGTGGTCACTGGAGGTGGGGTTCCAGGGTTACTAACCTCGCCCCACTTCCTGTTATCTTTCTCTCTGCTTCCAGTGTGTGGATGAGAATATGAGTACATGGCTTCCTGCTCCTGCTGGCTGTTCCACGCCTCCTCTGCCATGATAGAGTCTGTCCCTCTAGGACCCTTTCCTCTCTAACTCTGCTCACTAGAGCGTTAGAAGAGAGATAGAAATGTCTGCACTGGCTGACATCACAAGTAAATAGAGGAAATGGGGGGCTCATTCTAGGAAATCCAGGACCTGGGGGAGATGGGCTGTGTGTGGAGAAGGTACTGAGTGACACCCTTCCGGATGAGCACCTCACTGATGCTCAGGTTTCCTGCTCAGGAGAGGCACCGTATCCTAACAGATGCCGCCCCTGTGGAACAGAGCTAGATGACTTTCACACTCAGGGACACACCCTGTTCCTCATGGTCAGCTCCAGTGTCCAGACTGATGGAAGTGACACATGGCTGACTTTTTGTTTCAGCTGCTGTGATCATTCGATAGGTTCCATCTTTAGTTGCTCCTTCTGTCCTTTTAGAGAGCTGCCATGGTTCCTGGATGCTCCCGTAGGTACAAATAGTAGCAACATTTCTTCTGTTGTTAGATAACTAATTGGAATATACAACTTTCAGTATATCCAGTAAGTTAAAAAACAAAACAAAACAAAACAAACATTTCTTTATGTGCTCTTCAGCAGTTAGATTCCTCTTTTGAGAATTCTCAGTTTAGCTCTGTAGCCCATTTTTTAAATTAGATTATTTAGTTTGTTGGTGTTTAATTTTTTGAGTTCTCTATATATTCTGGATATTAGCCCTCTGATGAATGTAGGGTTGGTGAAGATCTTTTCCTAGTGGGTAGGCTGCTATTTTGTTCTATTGACAGTGTCCTTTGTCTTACAGAAACTATTCAGTTTCATGAGGTCCTATTTATTGATTGTTGATCTTAGAATAAAATTGAACAATATTCACAGGATAGTCTCCTTCTGAAAACCAAACTCGTCTTCTGTCTCTGGTATTCCCCTTTCCAAGAGAGAAAGGGGAGTAAGGAACAGGAAGGAGTAAGGAATGTAGCTTTTTCTCTTGCTGCTGCAGTTGTTAAGAAGTTGAAATAGCAGTGCTCTCTGAAGGACCCAAGCGAACCCCATGGCTCCCATTTATACCCACGTTTATAACAGGATCAGGGGTTCGGGTTGAGTGTGTGGATGAGAATATGATTTTTATTTCTCCTTTTTCTTACACATGCTACCATTAAGCCTGTAACCCCCCAGTCAAGTTTTAGTCTACTTTGAAAAGAACTGCCAAGGTCATCAGGTTTCCCAACATTCATGGTAGGCAGGATCTGCTCTGGTTCAGATATGACGTCAAGAAGGTGGTCATAGAGGCAACAGTGAGATAGGAAACAGGGATCCAGGGAGCCCCATGGCACTGGACCGTGGGCCAAATCCCTCAGTGCGCCTCCCTGGGTAAGCACACAGCATCACACTTCTGTCCAAGTGGACACTGTGACTTCACTGCAAACCACGGGGCCCAGGCCAGGATCTCTTGGGGCGAGTCCACTTCATACACTGTACTCACACAACTCTAAGCTCTGAAAGGGAAACCTCACAGGACTTCTCCATCTTCTCAGAGACAGCCATCTTGGCCTTCTCACCATCCAGAAAATAAAAGACTCTGAATGCATTAGAAAAGGTTGAAAATTTCAGGTGTGTGTATGTGTGAAGGGGGGGACACAAAACAAAGCAAAAACCAAAAGACACACTTGCTGTTTTTAGCTCCTACAGTACAGCAATAAGAATAGTTTGGTGACAAGATTTCTTAGGTCGTGTGCTTCAGAATACACACAGCCAAGACCAGCTAGGAAGATGGTCCCAGCAGTAAAGCGCCTGCTGCGTGTACAAGGACCTGGCATGAGATTCCCAACCCCACACACAAAAGGGAAGAATATGGGAGTGTAGGCGGTGATCACAGCTCTGGGAGGGGGTGGCAGGGGGACCTCTGGGCCTTGCTGGCCAGGCAGTCTAGCCTAATGGGTAAGCCACAGGCTCAGCAAGAGACCACCTCAAAAAAATAAGGTGGAGAGCGGGTGAGACAGTCATCCTTACGTCAGTCTTTACAACAATCGACATACAAGTGCTGGCATTCTCCCACAAACACGTACACGGAGGAACACACACATGCACACACACACAAGGGGGCAGCTGGAATCATTATAAATACAATATTGAACAGTGACAGGAGACGCTGGAAGTCCCGCATGGACACGGCACCCTGAAGGACCGGGGCAGTCTGTCTCTGTTTGTGTACTATATACAGCAGCTTCCGGTGGCATCTGAGCACCGGTGGCGCTCAGGACTGTCTGCCACTTCCACCGCCTCATCTTTGGTTGCGAGAAGCTTCTAAAACTTCACTTTGTCAATGACAGATGAAAACAAGTACAAGGCAGCCAAGTCTGAGGATGCCTTTTGACGGGACTGGTTCCAGTGAACATTTCTTCACTGTTCACAGAACGATGTGATTTCTAAAATGATTTTACCAAGGTGCTCTGAAGAGAAATTTAAGCTCTAGTCATTCCCGCTGTCTCGGGGTAGGCCACAGTCTTGCTGTTGGTTTGTCCTGTCTTCCTGTTCTCTGTGGTCGTTCATGTTTCTACACCTTCTCTCTTAGAATTTTCTAAGAAAAACCTCACAGACTAATGCAGCCAGAGGCCAGCCACCAACCAAGTCAGAGGTTGGTGAGGCAGCCAGCCCAAGTTAGGAAAACTAAATCCCTGCAGAGGCTGCAAAGGACTGTGAGTACATCGTGATGTTGCACTGCCATGCCTTCAGAAGCAGATATTCTTGACAGGAGCCTGACAGGCCTCCAAACTGGTATGCCCAGTCAGAGCCCATCTATAAGTTAGAAGATTTCAGAGGGCAACAGTGCTACTTCAAAATAATAACACTGATAATGACAGTGGGCACTGACCCCTGAGGTTTTGTGGTTTTTAGTTTTTGTTTTTAAGAGATAAACCACGCTTCTCTGAAATGAAGAGATCAGAGCCAGTCACTACGCATTTATTAAATGCTTACTTTTTAAAAGTAAAAGACCGAGCTGAGTCCTAGGAGGGATTACAGTCTAAGATACGATTTCTATTATTAAGCAGCTTACAATTAATTCGCACAACTAGAGTGAACTTGCAAAATGATTATGCTAAAACATGTAAACCAGAAGCACCCTAACAACCAAAATCCTTTGCCTGTGTGGCTAAGGGATCCCCAAGAAGCAGTCCACAGGGACACACTACACAAATAACAGGAAAATCCTCCAAAATTAAAGGTATCAGAACAGAAAGTCAGGCAAGGCTCCAGGAGTCTGTTAGCTCAGCTCTCTCTGCGGCCTTACAATGACAGCTTTTGTCAGTAAGTACCACTCTCATAGCCTGTGCAATTTGCCATTATAAACACTTTCTTGCGAGGCTCCAAAGCTCTGTGTAAGTATGATGTCATGTTTCTCTCAGCTAATAATGAAAACAAATGCCTCATTTTCCTAGATGCTCCCAGAAAATAGAGCAGCAAGACAAATGGCTGTTGCAAAGTGCGACCTTCTGAGCAAAACAGCAGCTAAGCTGTGCTCCCTTGTGAGTGCCAGTCGCAACCGCTCATGAACTGCTGACATTCCCCACAGAAGGAGGTGACACGGGGGTCACTGCACCCTCACACACTTCCACTCACTCCTCCTGGCCATCCGTAGGCCGTTCTGCCTTGATTGCACGTTGCCTTGGGGAGGAGCAAGAGCATATTCAGACTGGGGAAGGTTTGTGGAAGAGGGACTCCCTCAACAAAGCCACGGGGAAGCCATCATTCATGCTAGGTGCCTAAATTCCAGAGCGGCTGCTTGAGGGTCACCTACTCTTTTTCTTGAAACCCCCTCATGCATGCTCTGTAAAAACAAAACGTAATAAACTTGCTGGTTCCCCAGGGGGCTCTTTGGTGGAACTGAACTTTGGTTTGTCTTTGAGACCTTCTGAGGTCCTGAGTGGGCAGTCATTGTTTACGTGTCTCCTCCCAGGAAGAATGCACACAACAGTGGTCCAGGACATTAAGTCACTGGGGAGAGTTTGAGCTTTGCAAGGAACAAGTAAGATAATGTATTGGCTGAGCCAGGCTCTGGAAAGTTAAAATGCAACATGAGGCAAATTGTTTTGGATCATCATCATCATCACACTTTTCACATCCATTCACACCATCAATGCTTCCCAAAGTGGCAAAAAAAGGTAGTTCAAGCAGAACCCTCCCAGCTTCCCCCAAGTGCTCTGAACGTCTGCACACACACAGATGCTAATGATGAAAGAAAGTTGCACTCTCTAAGTTACCTCTTCTAAGGCGTTCCAAAGCTCCTCTTCCGTGTGCTCATTAAAGGGGTCCAGGTTTTTCCTCATGGTTCCCGTGAACAGAACAGGTTCCTAGGAGACCAAGAGAGCCAACTGTCATCACCACACTCTGACTTTCAGAATAGATTAGAAAGGAGAACAAGCGCACCAAAATTCACTGCAATCATTAATTCTACGGTTTCACATGCTTGTTTACAAAACATCATCTTCATTAATTTCCCATGACACAAAATGGGCCTCAAAATACCTTCCCAGAGCACTGAACACTAGCAAAAGAGACCATGGCAGTGTGCCGTGTTAAGAAGAAAATGAGGCGAGGAACTTCCTGCTGTTAAAAACATTTTCCTGGTAATAAATATAAAGCTGTATTTAGTGAAGTAACTAGGAAAATAACTTGCCAATCCTGATAGGATTCTGGAAAAGAACAGATAGTGTGATTAGTTGAAGTGTGTGCTTGAGTTTAAACTGTTATTTTCTCCTTTAGTCAAGAGTTTTCTGGGACTGGAATCTCTCTGCATAGCCACATGGGACATGAGGTAGTTCTATTCTCTGTTCAAGGAGGTTGTCAGCTAGTGGGCCAGTGGCCCTCTATTCATGGAAACAGCCTCTGATGGTGCACCAGCCAATCTCCACATCATCCTGTCTGTCCATCAGGACTGGAACGGCATTATTAACCAAGGGCCAAGGCAAGCTGAAACCCACTGGGAAGCAAGCACAGGAAGTAACACGTCTTCCATTCTACTGTTTCAGGAGGCGCTCACACTTAAATTGCTCCGGGGTCACTTCCAGACTTTAAGGCAGCATCTTACACGTGTACCTAGGGAGGCTGTGTAGGTTTTCCCTTAGACTTTTCTAACAACCCCGGGCCACAAGACACGAGCAGAGAAGAGCCCAGAGAGGAAGCCTGAGGGTCACAGATGTGGGAAACAGAGAAGCCATGGCTCTTTCACAGGTCCTGGAGAACTGCTCCTGGGCTACAAGTATGGGATATCACTTAGCCTTGAAGCTGGGCCTTTAACACTTAAAAGACTGAGGAGGAGGACTTGTCTTCAAAGACTAATATGGTCATTGCTTCTTAATTTTAGACGGGTGACAGGAAAAAAAATGGATGTAGGCCAGTGGTTCAGCATTCCCAACATGTACCCCTCAGCAAAACCCCCACACTAACAGACATCACTGTTGAATTTTATTTGTGCAGCATTGATTGGGTGATCATAAGATATTTAAAAATGGCTACTGAATTGAGCTCAAGGAACACAACAGACTTATCTAAGGTTCTGCCTACAATTACGGAATTTTAGATGAAGGACTCAATCTACAAATGGTGTGAATGTGTTATCAGGAGAATGAACATCATTCTTCTAACTTCAGATTTAAAACACACACACACACAAAAGGGGAAGGGAAGGGAGGGAAAGGACAGGAAAGAAGGAGAAACTCAAGTCAGGTAACTCCTCTTCTTGCTTATATGAGCTTCATAAAAGGCATATTGTTGTCCAACTTCCTTGCTAACTCCCCACACCAGCTGTCCCTCTTGTCTCTGATGCTCTTCTGACCGCCCCATAAAGGCTCCACACCATGGCTGATATGCCACTCAGGGGCCTCAACTGAGTGGCTGTGAGGGGCTTGAGGCAAACATGGAATCAGCTTTGAGCCCATGTGAGAAGTGAGAGGTGGCCTCTTTGTCTATATTAAGGCCAGGTCATTTCCCTTGTCCAGGATAGCTGATTTTACCTCAACTTTCTTTCCCTTCAAAAATCAGACAGCAAAATCACACCTAAAATGTCAGGTCTAGACCCTGGCAGAGATCTAGACTTTTATAATGCCCCATCTTGAGCACTAATGTATGCAACTGACTGCTTTTACCTTGTCCCACCTTGTTTATTATACAATGATCATATTGTTTGTATGTATGTATGTATGTATGTATGTATGTATGTATGTATGTATGTATGTATCATTGTATATATTAGCACAGGTAAGACTGATGGTTTGGTGACTCTAGACAACAGCCATAGGAATTGAAGTTCTTTTCCAATGTCCTGTCTCATGATCAGGTCCTCATACCTGTCTTATCCATACCTTCTCCCATTAAGGAAACTCCTTCATATGGATATATCTGAGGACTAAATGAGCCCTCTCATAGGTCAGGGGGTCACTGAGCCACAGAACATAAATACCTGCTTTACACTTGGGTTCTAAACACCACCCACAGACAGGAAGCCCTTGGGAGGTTTGGCTAATTATCCCTCATGATCACTGTTCACTAAAATACGGGTCTCTATTAAATCTATACTGTCAATTTAAAGGGAATATTGGGCAATCACTCATGTTTATTTAGCAATATGAGAAGAAAATAATTAAGTAAATAAGAGCAATTTTCTTTGTTGCAACACGCGGCTACATATTTCATAAGTAAAATTTCATCAAGACTTGTTGAACAAGGAGAATGATTTAATAAAACATTTGCTGGTTGAAGCTATATTTTCTTTAAAACTAGCAGGCAATTTGTTCACAATGGTTGTTTTACTATGCCAACATGTATGCACTGTTCACTTTCTTTATCCACTTGCCAAATAAAAAGCCCTAATATTATCTTCAAAAGGCAATAAAAGTGCTCACAGCAGACACATTCTGAGGGAGAAGATAAGGGTCAAGTTAATTATCATTCTGATAGGTATTATTATTTAAAGTACCCACCTCCACTCAATGAAGTTGAGTGGAGGTGGGTACTTTACAAACTAGTCTTATAAATAAGTGCTGTAAAAATGTTTGCAGGCAAAGACTTCAGTGTGGGGATCTTCGGGAGAAGCGGACAGGCTACCGTAATAGCCTCACTGAACTTTCTCTAGTGTGCCAGTTTTATAGGAGCTTTATTTTAACTTCTACATTTAGGTAGCATGGTAAAAGTAGGAAAGGCACATGTTCAATACAGCAATAAAATCGGAAGACTAATATCAAACTTGTTTTTCTTCATCAAATTAAATGTTTTAATCCTTTGTGCCACATTCAGTATTAAACTTTTGGCTGGCATTGACACAGCACACATTCTTATGAGTCATGTCACCCCGAAGCGGCCAGAGGAAATGTAAGTTCGTGAGAGCCACAGATTTACTAGGCCTTTTGAGCGTACTGACTGCAAGCTGGGCCCCCGTTATGGTAAGAAGAGATTCAACCCGCTCAACTTCAGACACTTAGGCCAACTAGGGACCACGAGAAAAACTTACAAATGAATGAAAGAAAGTTCAACACCTCATTTCATCTTCGTGGGACATCAAATAGGAAACTCCTAAAATGTAGCATCTGGAGCTACACTGCTTGATGTGTCCTCCGAGGCCCTTTCCCTGTCCCTATGCCGGGCAGCATCCTTCCGGGCCTCAGGGTGGAGTCACCTGAAGTCACTCAATCCCAGCCTCTTTTCTTCTTTCAATCCTGTACCCTCTGAGTGAACCAATCATCATGTATTTTCAGAAGAAAAGAACATTGTTCGCCCATGAAGAGAGAAGAATTTAAGTCCTGTAAAGTCATCTTTAAATACAAAAAGGTCACCAGCTCCAGGGAGCAGAGCCACGGATTTTAATGAAGACTTCAGTGTACAGGAACAAAGGCGGACTGCATTAGGCTGGGATCCAACTGTACCTCTCTACTAGTAACTGCACACCTACCCACTTTTCTCTTTGAAACACACACACCAGGTGATCAGAAAGGGGACTTAAGAGACACGGAAGCTCTGGTTAGCCTTTTAACTCTTTAAAAGCTCAGAGGAGTGTATATATATATACATGTACATACACACACACACACACACACACACACACACACACACACACGAATAGAGTGTGCTGTTTCAGAAGCACCTGGCTTTTGTTTTGGTACAAACAAAGGGAATCTATTAAACACACAAAACGAATCCGCTTGATCGTGATAAAGATTACAGCTGTTGTAAATGGGAAATTTGCTGCGAATTGCTCTTTGATTGAGAACATTTCCTTGGTGCCAAAGAGCCAGGGCTCCAGTTGTAAAGAAATTTGACCCAGAAAGAAAACTGAAAGCCACTCTTGCAGATGCTTTGTGATAAGCTGTTCCCTGAAGCCAGGCTCATCTTGGGACTAGACGGTGGTGGGACGGACAAAGGAAGCACAGGTGTCGGCCATTTGTTCTGCTCAAGAACGTTTCACAGGCAGCACGTGTTGGGCCCTGTCTTGGTTCACTTATTCCTAAAAGGCTAAGTGCTTGTTCCTTAAAGGAGCTGCCGGAGTCCCGCCCAGACCTGTCACCGCCCTTGGGAACCCACTCTGGCCCTTAACCCATACTTCTCAATTGCCTTGGGGTGGGGGGCTCACAAGAGGGGACCTTAACTCTCAGCTAAGGGGAGGGGCTGAGGGGAGAGGGGAGGAAGCTGCTGCCAGGCTCACCTAGACCTGCAACTCAGAAGCCAGCTCCATTTCTCTTCTGCTTCATCTGCAACACAATCAGCAAAGCAGGATGCTCTATAGCCTCCCTCTGATGAGTGGCTTTCTTTGCCTCCGCTGAGACCCTGTACCTGCAAAGGCTCTGTGGCCCTGGTTGGGAATGATGGCACTCTTCTAGCTCATGGCACCCAGTCAAGCCTTGTTTCTACGGTGATTTTCTTTTTGTCACTTGGATGTTTTGTTTTGTTTTGTTTTTTGGCAAAACAACCTTCACAAACCAGTCTTTCAAAGCTCCTGCCTGAGCCAAAAGCCTTAGGAAAAGATGCCTACAGACTTTACTTTCAACTTTATTTTGACTTTATTTATTTTCTTTGGCTATCATTTTGGGAACGCTTCCTGGGTAAGGTGGATAGAAAGGCAATGACTAAAATACCTGACATTCAATCATAAACATTCACGGAGAAAAAAACGGGGAGCCTGACAGCCCTGAGTTCTGATGCCGCTACCGTGCGGGCTAATGATGAGTTAGTTCCTCACTGCCTCCAGCTGCCCTTCTTGCCTTCCAGGGCTGCTACTCCAAAGGTTCCCCTTTCCCAGGGTGGTAACAGGCAGCTCGTACCAGTCCACACAGGCTGGGCAGTGGGCACAGCATTTTCAAAGAGCAGGCGGGACCAGCACCTCATGAAATCAATTTTGTGGCTCGTGACCACCATTTTGTCTTTCATATGGACTAGAGTAAATAGACTAGAAAATATCATGGAGTGATATTGCTTTATGAGATGATTGTTTCGGAGCAAGTGGGTGTACATGACCCTCAGGGCATCGGGGTATAGTACAGAGTTCATTGCTGGCCACAGCGCACAGTGTCAAACCGCTGTGGTCCCCACTATCGGGAGGTGGCATCCTGGCCATGGAGCCACCGAGCCCGTTTTTTAGCTCTGACAGATGAGGGCGACCGCAGAAGTTTTGGGATGGTTGAGAGCTGGGGAAGAAGGCAAGCGTGAGGGGTGCCACAGACCCCAGGAATGACGTCTCCTGAAGTGACCTGTCCCAGCAGTGACAAGCGTTTAGGGCAGCTCCAGCCAGATGGAGAAAACGGGCCCCTCCTGGGGGCTGAAGAAAACCATAAGCGGGAAGGAGGACTCTGGCTAAGATGCTCAATCTCCATTCAGAAAGGCAAAGAGGATGGACACCAGAGGAGAGAGAAAACAGGGAACAGGATGGGAGCCTACCAGAGGGCCTCTGAAAGGCCCTACCCTGCAGGGTACTGAAGCAGAGGTTGAGGCTCATCGCCAAACTTTGGGCAAAGTGCAGGAAATCTTATGAAAGAAGTAGAGATAGTAAGACCTGGAGAGAACAGGAGCTCCACAAAGACAGTGACAGATCCTAAAAGTCTGGGCACAGGGGTCTTTTCTGAAACTGATACTCCAGCCAAGGACCACTCATGGAGAGGGCCTGGGACCCCTGCACAGAATTGGGCCACCCCCATTCCTCTCGTGCAGTCGGTCCTCCATAAAGAATCTATGACATAATAATTACCAGATCTGGTTTAAGGACGGGAATTCAGCCCGGGAATCGAGGTGACTTCATCAAGGCCACGCATTCCCAGCTGGGAGGAGGAAAACGTGGGATGTGTTGACACTGCTCAGCACAGGCCCTGAGCCTGCAGTTTCTCCAGATCGCTGCTATTAGCAACCAGCTAGCACCGGGGAGGCAGGCGCAGAAAGGTCCTGGGCGCATGGTGCCTGGACATCACGACCCACAAGGACACACATCCTAGCACTGTTTTGTGAATGCTCCCTTGGGAGGATATGCATGGAGCACAAAAGGAGGGTGGGAACTCATGGAGCAAACCAAATCCTGGCGCTGTCAAAGCATAGTTAGTCTTTGCTCAGATGTGCTTCCAGAGCCTTCCCTCGTGGCCAAGAATCACCCAACCCGGCTTCTTTATCGAGAGTTCTTTCGAGCACCCAAGCACGGCCATCTTACTAAGAAGTGTGCAAAGGAGCAAGATGCACATTTCCAGACCCCTCCACCCGAGGACACGAGGGTACCTTATGGACACGCCAGTGTTTTCTGGGGACCAGTGTGAGATTTGAACTCTTATTTCTATTGTAACTTCGCTTCTCGTACTCAGAGGGACCTTCTCCCATGGAAGAGTTCTTCCATTTTGTTTTCTTAAAAGGGTTATCTTTCAATCTTTAAAAAAGAAAACTTACACACACACACACCATGAATCCAGCCATCAACCATTTAGCTCATTATTCTCACCACCCTCACTCAGTGAAGGTGCCATGCACACCTGTGCCTCGGTGCTTTCCGGAGCCAGTTCTCTCCTCCCATCTCTTGGGTCATGAGGATCGAGGTCACCAGGCTTGGCTCTTCTTAACCGTTTTAAATTGCACAGTGGTACTAAGCGCTTTTACGATCTTTGTAGTGGTCATCACCAATCGCAGGGCTTTTATTTGTCTTAAACCTTAACCCTTATTGCATTAAACAAAACCACTCCCTACCCTGCTCTCCTCCGGCCCTTACTGAGCACCTCGTGTCTCCACGAGCCAACCACTCTTCCCGTGAGCAGACCTTCTGACGCCCGAGGTTCTGTGAATGGCTCTCAGGCACCACGCTGCTCTCAGAGTTTGCCCGTGTTGTGGCACGCATCAGAATTTTCTCCCTTCTTAACGCTGAGCAACTTCCCACTGCTCGCATAAAACACATTTTGTCTTTAGCTCTTCATCTGTTGATGGACACTTGGCTGGCTTCCACATCCTGGCCACTGGGAATACCACTGCTGTGAACTGGAATGGGCGGAAATCTCTGCCATACTCTGCTTCTGGTGCGTGTGCGTGCGCGCGTGTGCGCGTATACGTGTGTGTGTGTGTGTGTGTGTGTGTGTGTGTGTGTGTGTGTGTACACGTGCAGGGACACATGCTCATAGTGGAATTGCTGGGAAAAGTTCCAGTCCTATTATCCATCTTGTGAGGAGTCCCCATGCTATCTACGTTCAACAGTGGCTGTGCATTTTACATTCCCACCAGGAAAACAGAGTTCTAATTTATCACAACCTCATCACAGCGGGCTGGTATCTCTATCATTTTACAGGTCAGGGAAGGAAGCAATAGCTGTAGGAGGCCACAGGCTCAAAGCATCCATCTCCTTCTCTCAGGGTGCTGGGTTCTCTGTGCTTTATAATAAGCCCTTAAAGGCCCATCACAGGCTCGTGCTCAGAAAGCACAGCTGCTTGGCCCTCTTTCTTGCCTCTTCTCTGTATTTCTCACGTCAGGAATGAGTGTGCACGGGTGTGGGTTTCCCAGCTCCCCTCCGTGGCTAGATGACTATGGAGTTTAAAAACATGCCAAAATAGAAGCCCCAAACAGCAAGCCTGGAGCTGAATCCACATGGCGTCAACGCTGAGGGCAGGATGAAGCTGCTAGGCTCGCCAGCTGCAGGCTGCAGGCCTGTGGGGTCAGGCCCTCCGCTGCCTGTGGCTGTCAACTAGAAGACAGTAATTACTCAATAAAGACTTTCTGAATTACACTGGGTAAAACTAAAAGCAACTCAACAAGAACGTAAACTAAGAGCTTCCAGTGTTTACACTGCCTAAATGTCTTCGGCTACAAAACAGTGAGAAAGAACACATGATCAGCCTAGGAGGAAATGGCAACACAACCCTCCACCATCATGACAGCCAAGCGTGTGCGTGTGTGTGTGTGGGGGGGGGCAAGTGCTCAGCCTCCACTGCAGTTCTCAGGGGTGACACCACTGCCTGGCTGGCAGCACACAGGGATGCAAACCTCCCCTGGCCTCCCCTAGGACTCCATGGTCCCTCCCTGGCTAACGTCATTTCCCAAATATCCAGCCTCCGAGTGTCCACAAGGTCTATATACTCTGTAACTCTCACAGGCTGTCTCAGCTGCACAGAAGACTTTGTATGAACACGATCAACCCTGAATGGGAACAGGGGCCTCGTCACCCACAGTAAACGTCTCTCATCATACTTACAGCCACGCTTCCTTATGGAAGGCGCTTCATCCCTAAGTATGAATGTAATTATCAGTGGATTAAAGGGCAACACCCAGGGAAGGTGACTCCAGAGCGAATTTAGGTAAATTTTATGGAAACTTAAAACCAGTCAGTCAGTCTGTCAGTCTCTCTCTCTCACATACACACAAGTACGCAAACACACATGCATGAATCGGAGGTAGCTACTAAAATGTCTGCTGAAAATACCCGCTGAAGTATGCCTTATTGGCTACTGGCTAAAGGATCAACCCTTTCATCCAATTAAAAAACTAGCATTAAAATTAAAAGCAATTAAACTTCAGTACTCCTGTAAAAGAAACAAATGTACATGCTCTAACTTGCATACCTGTGGTATGATTGACATTTTCTTCCTTAAATCATGAAGTCCAATTTCAGTTGTCAAGATCTTATCAATCCAAATTTTCCCTTCAGGTTCTGACAATCTGAAAAGGGCTGAAATGAGGGAACTTTTTCCAGCTCCGGTTCTTCCCACAATTCCAATCTATGAAGAAATCCAGGGGGAGAGATTAGAAACCAGCCATAAGCAACTGACCTGGGTGAACATGCTCATTTTCACAGGTGAATTGTGAAGCTTTCTGTTAAGCTCTCAGCCTTAGTGTACCCTGATGGACAAAAGTGCCTGTGGGTAAAAACCCCTGGGTGAAGAAGAGCCATAGGAATGGTAGGGGCTAGCCAGCGGCTTCCTCAATGGGCGACGAGAAGATGGTTTTTATGAGGCGCTTTGGAAGTCTGGGTTTGCAGAACCTTGAGAACGGCTTGCATAGTTCTGGAGGAGCGAACTGCTCACTCCAGAAGTGTCTTACAGAAAGAGGCCCCGTGTCCCCCAGCATCCTGTCATTACATGGATTGAGCTCTGAGAAAGAAGCAACACTGCTCTGCTTAATAGCCATCTGGTTATGTGGTGGCCTGAGAGGAAACACCTCGAGATTTGCAAACACAGGTCTCCCCATCTTGGAAGACAGTACCAGCAGCCAAACCATGCACAATGAGATCAACAACAGCAGCGCCACAAACAGCATTTGTGTTTACACGGGGCCTTTCATGTGAGCAGTTCAAAAGACATTTTACAAACCAATTAATACTTACAATTGCCCCTTGGGAACGATTTGTGTTGAGAATCACTCCTCTTATTAAAGTCAGAGCGGAGAGAAATGAACTGCACTGACAATAAGATCAAAGAATCAATATAACGCAGGTGGATGCCAGGCAGGGAAAAACCCCAATAGTAAAAACTGGCTTTTGGGAGTGTATGCTTACACCGATGAGCAGAAAATGAGCCTTATCCTCCAGTGAGCTTGTTCAATTGGTGAGAGCACAGAGATGACATCATCCTTATTAAAAATCTAAAGTCAATGAAGGGCATAGACATGTCTTCTATCACTTGTAAATTAATTCAGTAGATTAAAAAAAACTCACCATTTTAACATGGCAGAGCCAAACTCAACTATCTACTGGTTCTATGCTGGGAATTTTACATGTTATATCTGAATACTTTCAAATACAATCAGCGATGGCCTTTCAAAACTTATAGAGAATAACTGTAAGAAAGGTAGCTTTATCTAAGTTTCTGAAATCTCTGTAGATGCTATCTACCTATCAGCAGCACGAACTCATGTCTTGCAGAACAGCTAGATCTTTGCACACAGGTGTGCTGGATGTGCCAACGAAACAGAGCGTGCTGAGAGACTACAGGACAGAGAGCTGCAAACTTAAGTGAGGACGATTTAAAACAAAACAAAACAAAAGCCTGGCTCTTTCTCCCTGTCAATAAACTACCATCCAGAAGTCTTTAATGGTGACTGATGGATTTTCACAGATAACAAAGGAGAAGAATATCGTAAGTTTATGGTCAGACAACAAAGTGACATACAGAGATGGCCCAACCTTATTGCCTCTTTGTTTTTCCAAGGTAGGTCTCCAACAACCACGGCAACATGTTACACTTTTTCTTTAAAGATCATGTATGTGTGTGTGTGAGAGAGAGAGATTGTGTGGGTGTGGGTGTGTGTGTGTGTGTGAGAGAGAGAGAGAGAGAGATTGTGTGGGTATGTGTGTGTGTGTGTGTGTGTGTGTGTGTGAGAGAGAGAGAGAGAGAGAGAGAGATTGTGTGGGTATGTGTGTGTGTATGTGTGTGTGTGTGTGTGTGTGTGTGTGTGTGTGTGTGAGAGAGAGAGAGAGAGAGAGAGAGAGAGAGAGAGATTGTGTGGGTATGTGCCTGTGAGCATGGGTACCTGAGGAAGGCACACCCTGGAATCTGGAGTTACAACCAGTTGGAGCTGCCTGTTGTGGGTGCTGGGAATTTGACATGGTCCTCCAGAAGAGCAGTCTGTGCTCCTAACAGCTGAGCCATCTCTCCAGCCTCAACATGTTAGACTTTTTATGTGGATCAGTCTTCGTACTCCATACTCAACAGGCCCAATACCCAACATTACACACTCAGTAGGCCCAATACCCAACATTACACACCCAGTAGGCCCAATACCCAACATTACACATCCAGTAGGCCCAGTATCCGACGTTAAACTCACAATGGCTGCTGCTTTGGACGTACCCCATCATCCCCTCGCTCCACAAGAGCCTAGGCTCTAATTGCCCATCTCACCTGCATCTTTCTCCACGAAGCCTGATATCAAGCTCCAGGAGCCTCTGTTTCCTAACTTGATCCCTTTGTTTTTAATTCCCTCAGCCACCTGCTGAATCCAAGGCCACATTAAAAAACGAATAGACTCATCCTAATTAAAATCTGTTCGGGAAGCAAATAAATACTAACCCTAATTTCAGCCCTCTGACAGAATGATTTTTCACATGTGGTGCATGCATGTACATGTGTGTACGGAAGGGTTACCATGAAGGCGCTGTCACATACTGTGGGCATTTACTGCTTCCTATAAACATTTAGGGCACATGCAAAATATTGAACATGATCACTTATCTAATAAATCTCCTCCTTGTGGATGTTCCAGCTGCTTACAAAACATTTTGATGTTATAAATAGCATCATGTTAAATATTCTTGATGCTACATCTCTGCAAGCAGCCTTAATTATTTCCCTGAAACAGATCCTTAGGCAGGGAACTACTGGCAATAGCTATAAGCACTTCAAAAGGCGCGAGGCCTGCCAAGCCTCCCTCTGGAAGCAGGTTCTTCATCTCCACTGGCATCCCCCGGCCTTGCACCCTCCCAACCAAATGTCGCTTTTTCTAGTTGGCGTCCTGTTTGATTCCCAGAGACCCGTTCTGCACCGGGTCTCTCTCCCACCTCCTGTCTTTCGTCCTGGCATCTCTGGAGACTCACACCCCAGAGCCAGCCTCCAAACACCAGCCCACCCAGGAAACCTCCACATGACACCTCGACCAACACGTCCACCTGTGGCTCCACTCGTGTTTCTGCGGCGTTCCTGCATGGAAGCAGGTGTGGCTTAGGACTCTAGTCAAGACTCTGATGTGCTATCCCAGAAGAGGGTGAGGTAACCCAGGGCGTCAAAGTGTAAGTGTAAAAGAAGGTTTCGCAGGGATCAAGGAAGAATACTCATGAAGTTGAATGCTGAGCTGGACTGAATGCTGGCTCACTGAATGCTTGGCCTGGACCAGAGTGTCTGTATTCCTACCTGAGCCAGATGCTTTGGCTCAGCTGGGACTAAGGGAGAGGCCCGGAACATGGAATCCCACACACCACAAAGAGGAGGGCTCCCCAAAAACATTATGTAAAAAGGGAGACAAGGGGGGAAACTAACAGTTTTGTGCATTGAACAAGAAAATAAACAAATAAAAAGGCAACACGCCCAAACCAATCTACTTCTAGAACTGGAAAATGTTCGCAAATGGCCCGGTGCTCTCTCCAATGATCAAATCAACACAAAATCACCTAAATAAAAAATGCAGCCAGGGCTTGGAGGCTAACTGGAGACACAGGGCGCTAATGAACTCATTTTGTTCTTTCCAGAAATCAGGACCCTGGTTCGCCGTGATCACTGTTTCTTCTCTACTTCCAGTGAACTCCGAGGAAGCCACTGAGAGAGAACAAGGTTCCACCTCTACAGTGGTGCCGCATTCCCATCTGCGCTGGAATCCAAGCACCAGAGGGGCAGCCAGCAAGTGGGGGCTGGGAATAGTAAGAGGGGGAAACCCAAGGGGCACAGACAAAAGGGAGGATTCCATGGCACAGCTGCCTCCATGCAGGCAGCCTCTAAATGTACACAAACTAGCCAACTGTCACTGGGCTGGGGTGGACACGACACAAGTAAAAAGTGATGTTCTTACAGACATAGCTCAGCCTTCAAGTTCAATTTCCTTTCCAACCTCCAAGCATCTCAGGTAATCCTATGATCTGGGGTATTTTTAGGCTCTAAGAATACAAGTCTGGGGCTATACACTGTTTCCTAACTTGTTCAACGAAGTGCCTTATATAACCCATCTTCTGTGGCTCCCAGGTTTCGAAATTGAAGAAAAGTGAAAACCAAGAGAGTCACGCTTGCAACGTCAGATCTGATAAGCATGTTGTCTGCAAGCGATCGAACATCCTACAGCGCTGTCGGGACACCATCGGAGGCGCTTGGCTTTCATCAAAGCTGCAGCTCGTGCTTTACCCACACAGGCAGCCACCCATCTGCAGACCTACAAGGAAGCTGTGGAAATAATTAGGATCTGGCTGCTGCCAAGCGGCTTGCTAAAGAGGCTTGCTGCACACCCTTTGGGCACCAAGTCGTCTGCTCAGTCTTTCATGTCACAAGGGTATCACTCATTAGATCACAGCTGCGATTAGGCCATTAAATGGGTTGGGGGTAGACGGTTGGAAAGAGCAGCTAAGCCTCCGGCACTTAACCCTCCAGGCTGGGAGAACAGGGCAGTGGCAGAACGTCGGCCTATCACGTGTGGGTGACAGTCTAACCTTGACATGGAACCAGTGCACAGAAGCGGAAATACAGAGCGTGGGGAGGAGGGGATTCCGAATGCCCACTGAGGAAAAGGGCTGTTGACAGTTGCCTTTTGTTACAGGCTCCTTCCTGTTACAGGCTCATCCACTCATGACAGCCAGCTGTCTGCAGCAGCTACCACGTGACCTGCAGAACGGCCACACCTCTGCCAACAGGTGCACCTGCCAGTCCACAGTCCACAGGCTGCCATAGCAGCCTCGGGACCCCGCTATTCCCCTCTGCCTGAGTCTCCGGGCCTCACACTGCTTCTGGCCACCAAGCTCTGGTGGGGTTTTCTGTGGTGGCTGAGAACTGGCCTTGCAGAGTGCGTGCGGCTCCCACACGTGAAGGGACCACAGTATGCCTGGGCCTGGCTAGCGTCACAGCCTGCCCTGGGCAGGAGGTGCCGGAGACCACAGGTCAGGTTGATGGTCCAGAAGGAGAGCAGCTGTGGGAAGTAGAGGAGGAGGAGAAGAAGGTGTCCACCTGTCGACCCTGCACCACGACACGCAGTGTGACATCTACAAGGCACGCCTGAGTCACACAAGAAAAGCCTCGAAACAAGAACCGCACGCTCAAGTTCTCAGAACATTTAGGATTTTGTGACGGGCTGTGCTCATAGCCAGCCGGGGCCTCAGGCAGCCTGAGTGTTATGGGTTGGACACTCGAGGAAGAAAAGCAAGAAAGACCGAGGAAAGGAAGGGAGGAGGGCACCAGGAAGATGGGAGGAGGGCTGGAGTGGAAGATGGGACAGGAGAAATATGTTTGATTCAACAAGAGAGGAATAAAAGCCACTGGAAGGAAATGGGAGCGTAAATGACAAAGATCCAGGGTTGACTTTCTAAGAATCACTAGATCAGGTATATTAGCTCTTGAGTATATTTAACTCTAGTCAGGTTAAATCCCAGCTGTGGTACTGAAGGTGCCTCAACCAAGGGTGTGGTATTGAATAAAGACTCATTTCTTCCTCATATAGTGAGAAAGTGTTTGATTAAACAAACCTCAGACTATTATGTAATATTCAGAATAAATGAAAATGATAATAAGTGGGGAAAAAAAAGGGAAACAACAGTTTTCCACTGCGTGGTCCATTTCCAAAGAAGACCCATCTACATGGCCGCTGGGCTGACTGACATCCAGAAACAGACAGTCTTGCTGGCGGATTCAGCAGGAAGTTGGCACACGGATGTGGCCCTGAACCCTTAGCTGAAAGTCAAAAGGAGTAAGATGGGTTTAAACCAACCTTTTCCCTGGACTTGATGAGAGCCGTCAGGTGCTTCAGTACCAGAGGTCCATCTAAGCTGTAGGTGAAGTTCACGTTGTCGAAGACAATCACGCCTTCGTGGGGCCAGCCCGGGGGCGGGCGCTTCTTGCACTCCCAAGGCGCCTCTTTTTCTAGGTCCGTGTATTCAATCACCCGCTCCACCGAAATCATCTGAAGGAGAGAAGGCATCCACTCAGTCAGGGAGAGGGGCCTGCTCTTGGGAGTAGCTCACCTACACACAGCCGGGTGAGGCCCCTGCGGTCTTTGACGAGACTGTCAATCTTGCTCAGCATCACCTAACAGCTTCGCTTGCGGATGGTCCCTTCAACCTTACAACACTGAGAAAAAGGCAAGAGGGGTGCAGGGGAGCCGGCTCCGGGGGTAAACTGACTGACAGGCAAGCATGAAGACCTGGGTTTGGATCCCAGCATCTATGTCTCAAAATGTGAGGTGAAGGGTGAACGAGGAAGGCCCAAACCTCTAGCCTTCATCTATGCGCATACAATGCAATGTGCACAGGTCACGGGCAGGCACACACGCACCTTCCACAAACACGTAAGTGGAAGGATTCTGTAAAACCGAGAGTTTATGACCTTTGGTCAGTAATCTCTTGCTCCAGGAATGGTTTCTCATTCCGCACTAGTTATCTCTGGCAGCTTCAGGTTTCGCTATAGCAACCTCTATTGTGTGAGAGCAGAGAGAAGGAAGGACGGCACGTTCACTCTTTATCTCTTTAGCAGAATAAACGTTTCGAAGCCTAAGCAATTTCACGTGTTGAGTAAACCTGCAATCGCCATGACCTGTGACCTTTGAGAAGCTCCTTAGAGAAGGGAGCTGGCCCTCCCAGGAGGGAACAGCAGAAACGCTGGGCCCCGCTACCTTCTATCCCCGCATGGGAGAAGACATGCTAAAACTGGTGATGAGCGGGCAGGAACGGGAGAGGGGAACAGCTATTAATTAAACAAACAACCTCAAAACACTGAATTCTTCTCTTACCAAGAATGAGGAATTACCCATTAAGAAACAAAAATAAACAGGCCTCTGAGAAATTAGCTTATGTCCTCTCTAGGGTTTCAGGGCTTCCCCCCCACACAGAGGCATTTATTACATCTGAAGACAGCTTGCCATGAATCTAAAACCTGCTGACACAGCATACATGAGACAGAGAAAAAGACGTATACATTTTATTCTACATTAACATTAAACAGATGGAAATGGGATCTTAAAAAAAAAGCTATGTTAGCTGCAATGCAAAAAATAACAGTTTTAATATTTTACATAAGAATTGCTTTTATGCTATTTAATGGCAAAGGGGACTTTAAAAGGCTGAAAACTCTCAGATAAACGTTACCATATTCTCCACTTCGGCACTCTGCCTCACAGACCACTGGAACATCCCCATGAGCGTGAGGGCGTAGGATAAGGCCAGGCCGACCTGCCCGGCATCCAAAGCTTGGTGAGGAGAGAGAGAACACAGTCAATCTCAATTGTGACATGACCCTGCTGCCTTCTGCTCCTTTACCGGGAGGACACAGAAGTCATAAACAGAGGTAACCCTTAAACCTCTGTTTATTGACCAAGATCACGATACGGTTTTACGAATTCTGAAAGACTGTGAGATGAGTTTGTGAATCTCAGTAGGACTGACACACATTTAAGGGCGGGCACTGCACTTGTGAGGTATAACGTCATTATTCGCGTTCTTCATTATGGTTTAAAGCCTGTTACATAATCCCGCTGTGTACGTCCCGTGCAACCACATTTGGAAACCACTGCAAACAAGATGACGTGTTCTAAGAACCAGCGCTTTTGAAAGTAAAATCGACTCCCATTGTTCTATTAATAAACATTGCAATTCAGTGGTGCAGCAAAGAGGTCAGGCACAGTGGATTCCTGCCTGCCACTCAGGCTAACACCTGCTCTGGCCCCGGGCGGAGCTTGTTCTCGCTGACCATCTCTTTCACCTGTGTGCATACACTTGCATGCACACACTCAAGGACAGCCCAAGAGGAGCCGAGGTTCACATGGGTAGCCCTCGGCCAGACAAAAACAGTGCTAACAGTAAGCTTGCTTCTCATCTCCTGGCCACCGGGCCGCAAATATTCAGAATGTCCTTTGTAGAGGCCTCAGCTCATTCCAGCCAAGATGAAAAGAACCTATGCAGACCCTCTCCCTGCGTCACACTGCATGATCCTACCCACCCTGACACGTTGTAAAAGCCTTAACACACTTTATTGGAACCACACAGACTGTGCCACTAGACAAGGTGGCAAGAGTTTAATTTAATAACTGTAAACACAGCTATAAATTGTAATCATACCATAAATAGTTATTCACATCTGCACTTACTTTTTGCCAGAATCAGGGACCCAAAGGCAACAACGATGACAAAAATGGCACAGATGGCATCCAGACGCAAGGCGAACCATCTCGATGTCGTCAAAAACAGGAACCAAGCCTCTGGGTTTGTGAACCAGAAAAGCACAGTGAGTAAGGACAAAAGCCATATTAACCTCAGCGAATGTGACGGGCAGTGAGATGTTGACACACAGTAGGGCAGCAAGGTCACACACGCAACGTTTCTGGAGAAAGTCAAGAAATGCAAAGCAATGTGCAATACACACACCAAATAGACACAAATAAGCAGCACCAAGCAGGTGTCTAATCATAATAAAGAACACGGAAGAACGGTCCCTTGCATGCTCGCCTAAGGTGAGGTCCGTCAGCATTCTCGACTGTCTCTAGTTCTTTCACAGCAGAGCACACAGCTCCCGATTAGCCTCTGCTACTTTCTTCACCCGAGTGCTCCGCACACGCCGGGCCAGGGGTGGGACGTGGCTTGGGGGCTGCATGCACCACTATCGTGTAGTCCTTAAAGTGCCCCTGAGTCATCAAGACACAAAAAAGGTGGGGCGTGCTGAAAATCCATCTGCTGACCCCAGCCCTAAACAGACAGAGAGCCACAGGGCCCAGAGGTGGAAGGACTGAGCACGCCAATCAGAGGAGCTGGACACAAGGCTCTGAAGGGGTCCAGAGCCTCTGAGCAGATGGAGAAGGCATGCGGCCAGCAGTCGCCAGCAGCAGGCGCTGGACTAATAGATTAGTAGAGCTAATCGGCCACAGGGACCAGGCCTGAGGGAAGAGTAGCCGGCAGCTTTTGAAACCACTTGCAGAAATATACAGACCTGAATGCAGGTCCTGGTATGCATCAAAGAGCTCCTGACACCTCTCTTCAGCTTTATAAGCCCGGATGGTCCACAGTCCCTGGAGGGAAGATGACAAGTGGGAGAACACCGGGCTCCGTGCTGCAGAAACGTGGACACAGAAGAGAACGCTCAGTGACGCTGGCTACACAGCCTTCCCAGGCCTCCTCTCCCACCTGGGCTCCCCTGGGCTCCCTGGGCCTCCTCACCCCATCCCCTGGCATTTCCCCTCACCTCTCCCAGGCCTCCCCTAGGCCTCCCACAGTCTATGGAGTAGAGCCTAAGTACCAAGAAGTATTCTTGGGACTTCCTGAAGGGCTCTGAGTTTTCAGTCAAAACACTCCCAGCAGCCTGGAGACGGTCCTGTCCACCACCCTCAAACCCTGGTTGATGATGCCTCATTTTAAAGATGGAAATGAGTGCTCCTGTTCAGCACACCTTTGACCAAAGTCAAGTCTAGCTCCCTAGTGCCCTCATTAACTCATCCTTCAAGGTCTTTTCTTCCCTATACGTCCTAGATATTTCTATAGGAAGAAATTATTTTTTATTGAATTTTTTTAATTTGTCCAGTAATGTTCTAAAAAGTAATTTCATCAGAGGACTTACCAAAACACATTAAAGTGAGCTATGTCTCCACCTTGCCCCACCTTAGACTGTTAATTTAAGGGCTGGCATATGTCTGCTGTTCCCAGTAACAATAGAGTACCTCACACAGACAGACAGACAGACAGACAAGTTAAGTTGTTGTCTCCTCAGTGCATCCCAGAGAAGCTCCCTCTGCCTGGTAGCGAGGAACAGTCTGTTAGGGTCACCACATGCATGGGCATCACACTGCACTTGTGCCTGTACCACTGGCCCTGAGGGGACATCTCTGGATTGGCCTTGACTTCAGCCCCAAGAGCTAAAAGATGTCTTCATGATAACCCAGTTGTAAACTCATCCCCATGGTCAGGAGATAGTGTGGCGTGTGGCGCTGTCCTTACTCTCCCCAACTCTCACTGGCTTCATCTCATCAGAACTTACAGGGCAAACTCCCCGTTGTCCATCTTTGACTATGGAGAACGTGTGCCCTACAATGAGCTTTGTGTTTCTAGGATACGGCTTCTGACCAGCAAGCTTCAGCCACCCTCAGGTGACATGTGCGCTCAGTGGTGCTAGATGAGCACCCACCAACTGAGGTACCCTCTGCCACTGCACACGCTTCATGAGTGGGGGCACGCATGAATCACACCATCACATGCCTGTCTTCCAGGCCCTGTTGCTAAAGCATGGAGAGTCTGGGCGACGTGAAATTCAGTTGATAGCTGGCTGCATGTACTTTATAAAGTGAGGGAAAACAAGGAAGAAAAAATTCAGGCTTACCCTTCGGGGTGCCCCTGCGCCTGTCTGTCTCGTACTGACTTGCTTACTGTGCACACAACTGATGCGCGGCGTGAGATGTGTGTTACGGTCAGGTAAACTCGCACCAAGGTAAAGACTGGTCAGGTAAGTCAGAGTTCACTAATGGATGGCTGAGCAAGAAATGCACACCCAAAGACGAGACACTGGAGTCAGAGGAGGTGGGCAGCCTATTCAGTGCCTGGGTGGCTGCCTGCTTGTACCTGAGGCCACTTCCTCACTACGCTACCTTACTGTGGACACTGTGTGAAGGAGACCTTCCCCGTGACAGTCCTTTCTGGAAGAAAACGTTCTCTAAGTGAGCACTCGCCAGCTGGGCCTGGTATGGAGAAGCCCAGGCAATCTGGGGGTGCTTCTGAAGGCACGTTCATGTTCCCACCCCAGCATCCATGCTAGGCCCCTCCTTCAGTGTACCAACTAAACGCCTACCTCTCGCTGATTTTCGCTTCGTTTATCTTTGAAAGTTAAAGATGGATACAGGAACCTAAGTGGATTGAGGTCAGGCTCCAAACAGGAGCACTGAGGTCTCACGCCAACCTTTCCTGCAGGCCTCACAGAACATCCACTGGCTGTGGAACTGTCACTCTGCAAATACAGTGTCTGCATCGATGACAGCCCTGTCATGCCAGGCTTGTTACAGTCCCAGGAGACTGCTGGGGTCTTTCTGCTGAGAGCACAGGGAACGCACATGCACTGTGCCCTCATACTGGACAAGCGATACCACCACATGAGCGCTCTCTGATCATGGATGACGCCACAGGAAATAACATGTCAGCCTCTTCCCTCACTGGCTTCTTGTTAGATCTAAGTGAGCAGTGGGTCGAGGGCTGGGGTTGAGAGCTGGTGTGTTTCAGAGCTGAGCTGTCACTTCAGCCTTGAGCAGCAGAAAACTTAAGGCCAATCTCTGTGTTTAAATGCGCCCCAAGAAGCCTCTGCACTTAATGTACCCCAAGAGTTCTTTCAGAAAAGTATTGGGATGGGGGTGACACATCCCTGGCATGCCTGTGGAGTCAGAGGACAACTTCTCAGAGTCGGTTTGCTTCCCTCTTGACATGACTCCCGGGATGGGAGGGGAAGAGAAGCAAACACAGATCTCAGGCAAGAACCTTCACCCACTCAGCCACCTCACCACCACATCCCAGAATCTCTTGAGGCAGTGCAGAAACCCGTACCTTTAAAAAGTAATCCTGGTAGGGGAGGATTTCTTTTTCTTCCTTCTGATCCTAGTCTGCTAGGTCTCATCAGGAATGGCTGCATTGTCCTCTTTTGTGGCCTGGTAAGGCTGTTCCCCCCTCAGGGGGAGGTGATCAAAGAGTAGGCTAATCAGTTCATGTCAAAAGCAGTCCCTGTTCCCAGCCACTCCTGATGAGACCTAACAGACTAGAATCAGAAGGAAGAAAAAGAAACCCTCCCCTACCAGTGGACTTGGGGAAGGGCATGAGTGGAGAAGGGGGAGGAAGGGAGGGATTGGGAAGGGAGGAGGGAGAGAACTAGAGGGGGGATACAAAGTAAATAAAGTGTAATTAAAAATAAAATTAAAATTAAAAAAATTGCTTGCCCCCCCCCAAAAAAAGTAATCCTATTTCTTCCATGCCCTGCTAGTCTGCTTGGCGATGAACATGCAGTTGGGTAAATTAGGTGTATTGAAAAGAAATTAACTAGTACACTTAACTAGCATGCTACGATCTGGGGCTCTTCGTGTCTCCCTCATTACCCCAAGATATCCTGAAATTGACCATATGATGCTCATGGTCAGGCAGGTATCACCCTACATTCCTTATTATTGTGGCGTTTTCCAGGACTCTGAGGCCTCTCTGGGATAAAACCTACTGGATTATGTTTCTTCTCAGGGAAGAAGCACGGAAGACATGTGCAGGCCACATTCCTGCCCTGTCAGGATACCTTCAGGATATGATTTGATTCCCTTGTGTACAAAATTCTATTATGGCCAAGCATTGGTAATGCTTGGTAATGGCCAAGCATTACCTCAGGCAACCAGAACCCAACAGGGCAGGGATTAATAGCCTTTCAAAGGGAAAACACCGGAAGTACCCAGACCCCTATATACAACTCTGTCTTAGTTCCGACGTGCTTTTAATCTAAGCCAGTGTCTCAAAAGGAGCATCATCAAGTATTCTATGCATCATCAGATGTAGTTTTCTCTAAACTTTAAGACACAGAACTTCCCTCCCCCATCTCACTCAGCTAATATCTAATCGGAATCTCCACCACTAAGGTTCTTACTAAGCAGCTCACATTGAACAATATTCTTGAGCATCTGACATGGAACTCTTTAGAACAGCAGACTCCAGGTTCTATGTTCTGAAAGTATGTGGCATAGGTTGCCACTCTGCTAGCTTATGGCCGTGGCAGGCATTGCTAATGGATCAAAGCACCCTGATAGAACGGCACATGCCCTCACACTCTGGACATTACTAAATGACAGGGTCTGCTTAAGACATGCATCAAACAAGTACTGCTGCGGTTTAGTTAGGGAGTGCAATCTAAAAACGAACTCTGGGGCTCTAAAAACCTGTTGCAGCAAAACAAGGAGACAGGTATAAGCCGTCCTGCCAGAGCAAACAGGTGGAGTTAGTGACTGTGGCGGCAGTCACACAGCGAGAGAGGAACTGTATGTACCACAGACCCTCACGCAGATGGCTATCATTAAGCTGTTGCTGCAGTCAACTAGGGCCTGCACACCTCGAGTGCAGCAGAAGCACAGACAAAGTTATGACAAAACTAGGCCAAAACTTTATCAAGGTATGTCTTGAGTTTCAAGAAGGAAAATCCTATTTGGATTTAAAACAAATGTGTCCTAGGGAAGAGGCTTAATCCTCATTCAGAAGGGCAAATGGGATAGACATCAGTAGTAGAAGACAGGGAACAGGACAGGACCTCTGAAAGACTCCACCCAGGGTATTGAAGGAGATACTGAGACTCATAGCCAAACTGTGGGCAGAGTACAGGGAATCTTATGAAAGAAGGGGAAGATAGACCTGGAGGGGACAGGAACTCCACAAGGAGAGCAACAGAATCAAAAAACCTGGGCCCAGGAAGTCCTGCTGAGAACGATACTCCAACCAAGGACCATGCTTGGAGAGAACCTACATCCTCAGCTCAGATGAAGCACATAGGCAGTTCAGTCTCCAAGTGGGGGCCCTAGTAAGGGGAGCAGAGACTGTCTCTGACATGAACTCAGTGGCTGCCTCTTGGATCACCTCCCCCTGGGGGGTGCAGCCTTGCCAGGCCACAGAGGAAGATGATGCAGCCAATCCTGATGAGACCTGATAGGCTAGGGTCAGATAGAAGGGGAGGAGGTTCTCCCCTATCAGTGGACTAGGGGAGAGGCATGGAAGAAGTGGGAGGGTGGGACTGGGAAGAGATGAGTGAGGGGGCTATGGCCAGGATACAAAGTGAATCAACTGTAATAAATAATAAATAAATAAAAACAAAAATTTAAGAGGGGTCAGCAGTTCTTGCCACTGACACTAGTCTATGCCTTGTTGGATGACTAGACTTTCTCTGAATATATTCAGTTTCCTTTGCAACAAACCGGTGAATAAAAGACACGGAAATGCACAAAGGAGGTCGCTCGGCAGTGCCAACCCTTCATTCTCTGACTTCTCTGAGCCCTGTCACTGGAGCAGCTACAGCCGCGCTCTAAACACGGCCTTCCACTGAAACACGTCACAACACGGGCTCACAGCAGTTAACGGGTTCTCCTCGTGACTGGAGATTTTTCGAAAGCTTCTGTGAAGTGCCCCCTGCTATCCTTTACACAGTTATGATGAATGCCGCCTCAGAGTCTATTTAAAAACGTGCACATTAGGTTGCGAGGAAAGAAAAACCTTGGCTCCGGTGAACTTACAGCCACATCATGTAACACGTCCTGGCTCGGCTTTCAGAAAGCCAAGTAGCAGTTATTCATTGTGGACATTTTCTAGAACAAATGTCTTATTTCCTGGGGCTAGGGTGACAGCTCAGTGGTTAAGACCACTCTTCCAGAGGACACAAGTTCGGTTCCCAGCACCCACATGTAGCAGCTCACAACCACATATAACTCCAGTTCCAAGGGATCCAGCACCCTCTCCTGGCCTCCAAGAGCACACACATATACAGACACACATGCACACATAAACAAAGAATTTCTAAAAGATTATAAATATGTTCCTTCTCTTTTTTTGGCTATTAACCTTATACGTTTTTAAAAGTAGGAATTCTGTGCATATGGCTTTTGATTTTAACAAGAATGAAACAGGTTTGTCCATTCATAATGAGAAATGCTCTTGATCAGTTCATCATCTGTGGACACCTATAGAAAAGAGTGATTAGTCTGAAAATTAATTAATTTTCCTTCCTATTCCAAAACTGGGAAGTTAAATGGAGCAATAGACCAGATTATTCTCGACTGATCTTTCTGCTACTCTCCAAAGTAGATGAATGAGTCTACCTGACCTTCACACAATGCCACTCACAATCAGCACTGAATGGAAAGAAGAATCAGCACCATGACTACAGTACAAGAGTACATTTTATTACTCTTCTCCCTCTTCAAATTGTTCCTTTTGTCATTTCTAGAGTCTTCAAGGAAGAATTCCCTGATTACTTTCCTTCTAAATGTAATGTTTATCAGAAAACACTTCTGGTGTGCCTCCTGCCTATGAGAGGAGGTAAGCCACGAGCCAGAAAAGGGTCCCGTCCTTGGGGGAGTATATTCTACACAGGGCATCTACCCCTTTCTCAGGTTAAGCTGCAAAGTCACCCTTGGGAAGTCACCTGCTCTACACGATCCCTGATAGATGCAATAGCCATGTTCAATGTCTGAATGAATGTTGACCAATGAGAGCTGCTGGAGCATAGTAGGCCTGCGGACTTTCACAGACCTTAATTACCATTCTCCTCCATCACAGAAGCGTGATGCTCACCAAGACCCTTAGTACTCACTTGTAGACTCCAGGCGCTTGACATCCCTTGAAGTTTCTAAGAAATATCGCCGAAGAACCAAGAAGATGATGGAGAGTGGGACCAAGGGAATTATGATCCAAGGAATCACTGCAGCTGCCACAGCTATCACACTTATTACAAGGAGCAACGTCTAGAAGAGCAAACAGAAACGAGACAGGGTCTCTTTAGCAAGAATTTCTGCTTTTCAAAACCAGACTTCAGTGGGTTATTTTCTTTGGATTCCGCTCTCTTCTTCACAAAGCCTCACTGGAACTGCAGAGAACCCTTCCACGCTCGAGGAAGGAACAGCAGCATCACTGGCGACTACACCAGGCACAGGGTGCTTAAAGGTGTCTTCTTTGATATCAGCACAGTCAATCAAGCACAACACTGGGATCCCAGGTCCCCTGCAGCTACGCTAAGAGCATGTGGCAGTCCATGTCTGTAAGCCCGGAGCTATCAAAGTGGAGACACGTGGACTCTTAGAGTTTGAAGAAACAGCGTGAGCTCCAGGTCCACAAAGAGACAGTCTCTAAAAATAAGGTGGGAAGTGATTGAAAAAGGAACCTGATTTGACTTTTGGTCTGTATACACACACAGACAAGAGAGAGAAAGAGAGAGAGAGAGAGAGAGAGCATGAAACACAAAGCTTCATACTTAAAAATAAATATATAAGCATACTCTTATTCTTCATTACTTCCCCTTTCCCAGAATTTAATAAATGGCGTTGGGCTTTTGATTGTTATACCAGCCATATTCATGAGGTGACGCATCCTTGACCCCGGCTGATAGAGACTACCATGCTGCCCAGCTCATGAAACAGAATGAAAGTTTTAAAAGTTCAAAGATGCTGGCTAACACAGAATACCGATTCTTGCTGACTGAGTAAATATTAAATTAAAACATAAAATTTCCTAAGAAAAATTACTTTTAATCCCTCAATTGCAAAACAACTTATGGAAAAAGAAGAGAGTGAACTTGGTTTTAACAAATCTGTAAAATTTTAGGGCACAGAATGAAGGTTGGGTATTTTACATTTTGTGCTCCTGTGCTCATGGTGGCAAAGCCCACAGAAGCTCCCTCAGGACCTGAGTTTCCTCTACAGCTGTGGTGTGGTAGCGTGCAAGAGTAAGCTCAGCCCTTGACAGGTGGAGACAGGAGAATCACTGTGGGTCGGAGGCCAGACTGGACTACACAGTGATTTCCAGGCCAGCCTGAGTTATATAGACCCAGCCTCTAAAAGCAAATGAATAAAACCAGCACGGAACATATAAGAATTTTCTTTAGAATATCACAATTTAATAATAATAGAGATTTTAAAACCATTTCTTTTTCACCAGAACACTTTTAGTGACAAGGACCTGTTCAGGCTTTTGGTATTTATCTCCTCAACTGCTTTCATTCTGGGGGCACTCGTAGACACCTACATGAAGTTTACTTTAAATTTCACTTTGTGGGGTTCTCTGGCTGATGTTCTATGGGATGTAGTGCCGAAGAGTATGTTTCCTACAAACAGTAGTAAAAATGTAGTCTGATTTTATGTGAGCCATCATGCCACGGCTCACCCCATCCCTGATGTGAACCCTATCTCATACCTTCTCGGGAGCTGACTAAAAATACGTGTTCACCCATAAAGCCACTTGACTGGTACGCAGAGCTTTTTACTATTTGTTCACAGCATTAAAAATAAAATCAGGCTCAGACTGCTCACAGCCCAGCGCAGCCAGAAGGCTTTGGGACGCGCTGTCAGTGGGACTGCGGAACCTGTTTCATGTTGTCATCAGTGTGTATTGTCTGGATTGCTTTCCATGCTGCCGGTTTTGAGAAAGATCCGCCTCAAGTGCAGTAAGCACGCAGGATTCACATCTTGGCAAGATTTCCCTCTGATTTAGCAAGGGAAAAAAATGACGAGTAGGTTTTGATCAGTAAGCTTTCTACTGGTGTATGTATAAAAGAAACTCTTTCATCTACTATTTTGGGAACATGTGAGATAAAAGAAACCGATCTCTGAGTGAAAAAAAAAAATACCATAACAAATTATGCTGCTGGGTAGTACAGGATTCTTAGGCATTAAAAGTTTGAACAGCATATAGACTTGGAAAGTATTAAGAAATAAACATGTAATTTCTATCAGATTAGACTCATCACCCTCCAATTACAGGATATGTTCAAGCACAAAGGAAATATTCAGAGCTTTACACATAAGCCTCAATCCTTACACGCTGCCAGTGTTTGCATCTTGTCAGTAGGTACAACTTACATAACAGCCCTGCCCCCTATGTGCCTCAGAGTTCAGAGGTCAGCTCTGCTCCCCAGATCTAACATCAATCATTACAGAAGCCACTTAGGTGCCACTTACACTTGTCTCCTGATCTCTGCAATTCAGCCATCTCTGTTAAGTCAGGGCTTTACGGCACATGGGGATGTTGGATTTGCATGTAGCATAAACCTCTCTAGCGTGATGCTTTTGAATCGGCAGACAGTCATTGCTGCATCCATTTGCCATCTGACTGAGTGACTGACACCCACAGCAGCTTGGGGTCCTGGGTCACCGTCTTTTAGCTCTGTACTCACAATCAAAGTCAACAGCACTGAAGAGAAGGCTTGTGAGTTCTAACCTGTTTGCTGATGAAAAGTTTCATCTTGGCTTTTTCCAGTGTTAATGGGTATTATGAAACTCAAGACTTCAGCCTGAAGATATAACATTACACTTTGGATTCAAGTTAAAAATAAAGATACATATAAAGGTAAACTTGTCGTTACCACTGTGAACAACAAAGCTTTTAATTCAAGAACTCACAAAAGAAAACATTTCATCGGAATAAAAGCATCAGGGGGCTGGAGAGATGGCTCGGGGTGGAGAGCACTGTCTGCTCTCAAAGGAGACAGGATTTGGTCTCCAGCAAGCTGCACAAGCTTCCAGGAACCCAAGCCCCAAGGGATCTGATGCCCCCCTCTGGCCTCTGCAGCTACCTGCACTCACAGGCAGGCCCAGAGACCCACAGAAAAACACACACGTAAAAACAAAACCACTTTTTAAAAAAACAAAACAAAACAAACAAACAAGCAAAAAACCCTGGGTCTAATTATCCAGGAGAGAAACACAAATCAACTTACATGAATTTTAAAAATAGCTTCAGAATGTTAAAGCAAAATCTGACACTACACAGAAGAAATAGATAAATCCAGTCAGGTGGCACATGACTATGACATATTTACTTCAACAACTGGCAGGACAAACTAATAAAAAATTGAAAGAAATGTAAGAGTTTGTTGTGAGCAAACAAACTATGATGGCTGATAGCTATGATACCATGGTCAATTCTTTTCAAGTACAAATTCACCATGTCCTAAAGTATATAGCCACAAACTTCAATGACAAAAATGTAGAATATATTTTACTTCAGAAGACAATAACTCAAAAACGACATAACTAGAAAAGTGACCACCACTTCTAAATAATACCAGGTTTACAAAAACACAACAAAATGAAAGTAGTTTGAAAACAAAGATGAAAATCAGATACTATGAAAATCTGAAAGTTGCAACTAATGCTATGTTTAGAGGTAAATGTCTAGCTTTAACTTATTTTTAAAGAAAATCTACATGTCACAGATGTTAAACTAGATCTTAAGATAGAAAAGCAGGAGGAGATCGCTTTGTGGTTAAGAACAGTGACTGCTTCCACAAGACTCTGGTCCAGTCCCCAATACCCACATGGTGCCCCATGACCAGCCACAGCTCCAGTTCTAGGCCGTCTGACACCTACTTCTCCACCTCATGCATCCAGCACATCATTGGTGCGCATACACATATGTAAGCAAGACACTTGTGCACATAAAATAATGAAAAATAATCTAAAGACTTTTTTTTAAAGAACACATAAAAGCAAATAAGGAGAAAAAAACAAAAATGGAAAAAACTTGAGTTTTTTTTTTTTTTTTTTTTTTTTTTATCTTAGCCATTCTGATGGGTGTAAGGAGAAATCTCAGGGTCGTTTTGATTTCCAAGTGACAACACATGCTGGAGAGGATGTGGAGAAAGGGGAACCCTCCTCCATAGCTGGTGGGAATGTAAACTTGTACAACTACTTTGGAAATCAATCTGGCGCTTTCTCAGACAATTAGGAATAGTGCTTCCTCAAGACCCAGCTATACCAGTCCTAGGCATACATCCAAAATATGCACAAGTACACAACAAGGACATTTGTTCAACCATGTTTGAAGCAGCTTTATTCGTAATAGCCAGAATCTGGAAATAACCCAGAAGTCCCTCAATTGAGGAATAGATACAGAAATTGTGATACATTTACACAACGGAATACTACACAGCAATTAAAAACAAGGAAATCATGAAATTTGCAGACAATTGATGGGAACTAGAAAAGATCTTCTTGAGTGAGGTATCCCAGGAGCAGAAAGACACACATGGTATATACTCACTTACAAATAGATATTAGACATGTAATATAAACATACTAAAATCTGTACACATAAAGAAGCTAAGCAAGAAGGAGGACCCTGGGTAATATGAACAATCCTCACTCAGAAGGCAAATGAGATGGACATTGGAAGAGGGAGAAAACAGGGAACAGGACAGGAGCCCACAACAGAGGACCCGTTAGCAGGGTATCAAAGCAGATGCTGAGACTCATAACCAAAGTTTGGGCAGAGTACAGGGAATCTTATGAAAGAAGGGGGAGATAGAAAGACCTGGAGGGGGCTGGAGTTCCATAAGGAGAACAACAGAACCAAAAAATCTGGGCTCAGAGGTCTTTTCTGAGACTGATACTCCAACCAAGGACCTTGCATGGAGATATGGGTTCCCTAGTAAGGGGACTGTCTCTGACATGAACTCTGTGGCTGGCTCTTTGATCACCTCCCCCTGATGTGGGGGATCAGCCTTACCAGGCCACAGAGGAAGGCAATGCAGCCAGTCCTGATGAGACCTGATAGGCTAGGGTCAGATGGAAGGGAAGGAGGAGCTCCCTTATCAGTGGACTAGGGGAAGAGCATAGGAGAAGAAGAAAGAGGGAGGCTGGGATTGGGAAGGGACGGGGGTGGGCCTACAGCTGGGATATAAAGTGGATAAGTTGTAATAAATAAAAAATAAATTTAAAAAATATTTTAAAATGTTGGAAAAACAAAACAA